AACAGGTATGGACTGAAAATGACTAATATTGGGGTTAGTGTGTGTTTCCCAATTTTTTTTTAAATTAAGTAAAATGGGCTAGACACGTAATGAGATTTGGAGATGACCGCTGGACTAGAGCCATTAACGACTGGATTCCATGGGACGTCAAAAGACCACGTGGCCGCCCACCTATGAGATGGTCAGACTTCTTCGTCAAGACCCTGAACGATTGGTTTGAGGCTCTTCATGTTCCTAGAATGAGCAGACGCCATTGGGCTACATTAGCACGTGACAGGGACGAATGGAGATGTTACTGGTGCCCGCTCGAGCAAATCGATGAGTAATGGGATGTCAAGTGATCAAGTAAAATAGTTTTATTTAGAGAAATATGAGTGGAGAGAGAGGGCTGAAGAAGGGAAAGGGAGAAGGGAGAGGAGAGAGAGAGAGAAAGAGAGAGAAAGAGAGAGAGAGAGAGAGAGAGAGAGAGAGAGAGAGACTTGCTGAGAGTACACGTCTCAGGTGGAGATGCAGATGAATCTCCAGTGTGGCAAATGCTCACACAAGCCTTTCCAAGGCTGGTTTTATATAGTTTTTCCAAGCTGCCTCTGCCTGAGTAAGAGTCTAATGCCAGGGTACAGTTAAAGGGGAAAGTTTTGGATTCTTGATGGTTTTCTCATACCTTTATCATGACCTTTAAATTCTCTGGAAGCTTTTTCTTTCCTGAGGGTTCCACCCTTCTCTGGCTGTGCCTCCTTTTCTGGGCAGTGCCTTGGTTTTCTCCATATCCAAAGATCTCAGTATTTGCATCGCAGAAGGGATGTGGTCATTGTGTTTTGGGGCTACTTCAGGGCTGGTGACTAGGCTGTTTCTTCATGTGGCTGGTGGCTCAGTAAAGTAGGGAGTGAGGGAGGGAGTCTAGAAAACATAGTGCATCCACCTCTGTTCCACATCTCTGTACGACCCACCAGTGCTAAAGGAAATGCCAGGCATGGATCAGGACTGGTGAAGTCTTCTGGGAGCACCCACAAGGCGTGGATACTCATGTCCCACCAGCCCCACGAGGCAGCCATCAAGCTGCGCAGAAAATCTGTTTGTTCTACACGGGGATCATCTAGACCCCCTGATTCCTGTGGAGAGCTGTGGAGCCAGGTGGGAACGAGGTATGGCTCTTTGCAGGAAAGTCAGTCTGTCCTAACCCCAGCACTCGTGACCCAGGTCTGTGGCCTTTCCCCTCACAGAAAAGAATTTTAAGAGGAGGTGAAATTCTGAGGCAAGGTAGTTTTGGCTTTTTGGTTTTGGGGGTTTTCTTTTGTTTTGGGGTCACACCTGACATTGCTCAGGAGCTACTCCTGGCTCTGCACTCAGGAATCACTCCTGACAGTGTTTGGGGGAACCTATGGGATGCCGGGGATCAAACCCAGGTCAGTCGCATCTAGGCAAGCACCCTACCTGCCGTACTATTGCTCGGGCATCAAGATAGTCTTTACAGAATGAAACTTACTTAGAAGGATGTGAGGGGAGAGACAGAAATACATATTTAAGAGAGAACAAAGGCTTCTTTTTTTTGGGAGAGGGGTCACACCCGACGATGCACAGCGATTACTCCTGGCTCTGCATTCAGTAATCACTCCTAGTGGTGCTCAGGGGACCATATGGGATGCTGGGAAGCAAACCCAGGTCGGCCACGTGCAAGGCAAACGCCCTACCCGCTGTGCTATCACTCCAGCCCCAAGAGCAAAGGCTTCTTGAGAGAGGAAAAAGCAGAAACAGAGAGAGGAGCAAGAAGACGTATGTTTGAGGGCAAGCACAGGTTTGGACAGCAAGCCCCTCCCCTTTCTGTTGTTGCAATGACCGGGGACCTTGGTTGTGGAGCTCGCTGGAGATCACACACTTTATGGTGACCCAGAGATTGCACTCAGCATGTGGGGTGGTGCATCACAATCAAACTCGTGATCTTATTAGCCTCTGGTCTGTAATGCAGACTGACCCACACCACTGTCCCAGTGTTGGTTTCTTAATTTTGACAGATGCTGCCAAGTCCTGAAGGATGTTAACCACTCAGACAATGGGGAGGGGTGTATGAGATTTTCTGTGCAATCTTTACAGCTTCTCTATGAATCTAAAAGGGGATGTGTTCTGCCCGGAGGGGAAAGGGTGTTGCCCCATTCGCCCTCTCCTCTCTGGAAAGAAAGATGGCGGCCACATGGGAGCCTTGTGGAGAGCAGGTGTGAGCCGGGGGTGTGGGGGCGACTAAAACCTCATGGGAAGGGGGGCGTTCCCGTCCATCCTTCACGCCTTACCGAGGCCACCAGTTGCCCCCCACGAGCGACTCTCCAGCACGGCCACAGCCCCAGAAGCACAAGGACTTAATGCAGAACCCAGCAGCTTGGAGCAGAAAAGTGAATGGACTATGAGTTAATCCAGGCCATCATGTCTGCCCGGAGGGGAAAGGGTGTTGCCCCATTCACCCTCTCCTCTCTGGAAAGAAGATGGCGGCCACATGGGTGCCTTGTGGAGAGCAGGTGTGAGCCGGGGAGTGTGGGGGCGACTAAAACCTCATGGGAAGGGGGCGTTCCAGTCCTTCATGCCCTACCGAGGCCGCCAGTTGCCCCCCACGAGCGGCTCTCCAGCATGGCCACAACTCCAGAGCACAGAAACCAATCTCTTAATTATCTGACTCTCAGTAGAAATACTTCCAGGGTTAATTAGCAAAAGAGCGGAAATCCAAAACCAACATTTAATTCTTGAACCCAGCTGTAGAAAGCGAATCACTTCACAATGCTTTCTCAGCATGTCTGATTTGGGGCGAGGCGGTAAACTCTAAAATAATAGTGGTGCATCTTTTATGGAAACAATGAATCTAACCAAAGCAGATAGAGTGTCAACTAGAATTCATCTGCCTCGCAGGCACTGGGAGGGGTGGGGGGTGGGGTTTTTATTGGGGTTCTTCGTGGTAAGAAATAAGTATTGGTAAAGGGAAAGGTGTTTGATATTTGCATGACTGAGACCTAAACCTGAAAGCTTTTTAACTTTTCCCACAGTGATTCAATAAATAAATAAATTATTTAAAAAAATAAAAATAAAAAGGGATGTGTTGTGTGCATATGTGTGTGTGTGTGTGTGTGTTTAGTCACATGGTATAAATGTGTGAACCAGAGTTCAAATTGAAATGTACAAATTTAAATGGATTTACCCAACACTCCATCTACCTTCTCTTACTAAAAAGCCATATCCTAAAGCCTCTTCAATTGTCTGGCTTTCTCCCCAAACCCTCACATTTGCCCTCTAGATCAACCCCAACTAATCTCTTTTCTTTGCCCCACAACTCCCCTTTGACGACTGAGAGACCCCCCTCTCCCCACACATCTCCTCATCTCCACAGTCAGTATTCCCAGACTCTTCACTCTTCTGGGACACTTGAATTTCAATAATAACTGGTCTCCCCTGCACCTTCCCCTCCTTTGCAGCAGCCACCACATTTCATTTGGGGTTCCAGGAGAGACAACTCCTCAGTCTGATCCCAGTGATAATAAATCCCGTAACCTATTAGCTCACATCACCCACAGGCCTTGGTGAACAACTCAGCGATGGTCACAAGAGATGCTCACATTGGACCAAGTTGGTCCAATCAGAAAGCATCCTGGAGGGCTGGAGCGATAGTACAGAGGGTAGGTCATTTGCCTTGCACAAAGCTGACCTGTGTTCAATCCTCAGCATCCCATATGGTCCCCCAAACACTGTCAGGAACAATTTATGAGTGCAGAGCCAGGAATAACCCCTGAGTATCCCTGAATGTGACCCAAGAGCAACAAATAAAATAAAATAATAAATATTTTTTTTAAAAAAAGAAAATATCCTGGGGTTCTGACTAGAACAAATGAGCTCAGAGACAATTCTCTGTGTCCATATTAGATATAAATGAAGAAGCCCCTGGAAACCTTGGACTGAAGCCAAAACCGAGGACAACAAAAGAGAAATGTACAGAGCTGCGTTGGTAGCGACACCCATGAACCACTGGATCAAAGCTTGCCTGAAGCCCATACTGCCTCTAGATTTCAGTTATGAGAACTTTAGAGGAAGAAGAAATAGTCCCCCACAAAGCTACCCATTCCCTCATCACTAGAACCTGTGAATATTCTCTTCCAGGACAAAGGAAAGTGTTTTGCACATGGGTTTACGTATTATGAGAAGATAAGATTATCTGGGTGTGCCCCCAATGTAATTACAGGTGTCCTCACAAAAAGGGAGGAAGAAGATCTGACAGATGCACAGCTAAGACAATTCAGTCAGGGAGCCATGGACATGACTGCCACCCCCGTAGTGCTGGTAACCACACCAGAGGCCTAGGAGCAGAGAGGAAGCCCCCCACCATCCTATCTCCCCTGCAGCATGAGCACCTGGCCAACATCTGGACCAGACCCAGTTCTTCTCTCGGACTTTAGGCCTCTAGACCTGTGAAAGAATACAGTACTATTGTTTCAACTCTGTATCCTCGGTTTCAGAGACATAAGGAACAGCTACCAGGGCGAATACATCTCTTTAATATTTAAGCTTATTTAGACCTGGTGTTTTGTTCGTTATCACAAAAAGCTGCCTGATTTATATACAGTCCCTCTCTCACCCTCCTCTAGAATGGAGATGTGAGCCCTACAGAAGGATAAATTCCCATTAGGAAGCAGCCGGAGACCCTCCTGATATTTAGTTGGGGAGGGGGGCCTGGGGCCGAGTGGCATCAGAGGCCAGATGCTCCAAGCAAAGGGTGATGGGAGTTTATCACAGGCAAGTCACGGGAACCTGGGCCTGGGCAGGCTCTGGCCAGAAGGCCGTCTCCCCAGCACACCATACCCTTTCCAGCCAGGGTCCTGCCAAAGGGACTCATGGTCGGACAGGGTCAAGGGCAGGAAGGGAGACAATGCCCATGCTTGTTAGATGCCATAGGTCACCTGCTGGGAACCCTGTGCCGGGGGAAGACACTGTCCTCAGTCCAGAAATGCAACATCAAGATGTGTGAGGACAGGGGAGCCCCTCCAGGCCTTTGGGGGGCACATCCCCTCCTGTTCCAGCCTGTCTTTACAATGCCAAGAGCAGAGGACAGATGTCCCAGCAGCGGTGACCTGCAGTGTGAGGATCCAGCAGGCACTTCCAGGCCTGTCCGGGAGTTGGCCCAGAGCCGATGCCGGAGCAAGGCTGCCCATCAGGTGGGGGGCTCCCCCAATTTGCTGGTGGCACTGGTGATCCGCTTATTCTCCCTCACGTTCCGGAGGCGGGCACTGAGGCTGCTGATCTCTTCCACGTAGGCTTGGGGCACCCAGCCCTTCTCTCCATCTGCCAGGCGGACGCCCTCCAGCCAGCCTAGGGACATACAGGCCAGGAACACCATCATGAGCACAGCAGGGACGGCATGCGCTGAGGTGAGCCTCACCTGCACCCCTGAGCTCAGGTGACATCTGGACACCCCGGCCTCCAGGAAGGACTCGAGTTGCACTCCTGCCCTCTTCTGACGGCCTCTCTGAGAAGGCTACTTCCCACGGCCCCCCACCTCTTTCCAGGCAGGAAGTTCCTCCTCTTGTCTAACTTGCTTCCTGCATGCGATGGTGGAACCACCTTGCACAACCTTTTCCGGGGATGTGAGTCATCCAGCCTTTTCCTCCCACCCCCTGACCTTCGGGGGAGGCCCCTCTCACCATCACTCGTCCGGGTCCTCACTGCCAGGATGTCTGTCTTCTCCAAGGTCAGCTCGTCTGGCTGCAATGCCTTGTATGTCCTCACACACTGAACCTGGGGGCGGTCTGATAGCCCAGGGTAGGGAGGTGAGGAAGGGCCCCAGGGCTGGACGTGGCAGGGATGGGGTAGGGAAGGGAGAAGGAGGTAGGAGGGGCCTGGAGGGTGACCATGGTTGTTTCTTTCTGTCCCTTCCTTTGAGCCCACTTGTCGAACTCTAAATACCAGCCCCAGGAGAATCCCGTCCCTCCCTACTTCAGTTACTGCTGCTGGGCCCAGGTCTCTCCTCCCCAGCTCCAGGCTCCATCCAACACCTTGCCCTGACCTCCAGGCCGGTGTCCAAGTACCCCCAGAGAGCCTCACAAAACAGCAACAAGTCCCCTGGCTCTACTTCATTCCATCTTTTCAACAAGAACTTCAGCCCACCCCACACGCTCTGGGAATCACATGCTTCGCACACAGGGATTGGCTCCAGCCCTGACACTGCATGGACCCCATCAAACACTGTGCTGAGGGGCATCCCTGAGCATCTCTGGCCACTAGGTGTGACTCAAGGGAGCAGGAGAAAACTCAAAGGACCAATTCAATCCCTAGCACTTCCTGGCTACTTAAGTCCACGGGGTGCAGCCCTGGGGGCCCCCAGAACCTCTCTGTAAAAGCAGAATCGTATCAACATTTCCCTGGAAATGGAGCTGCCAGGCTGAGTATGTCTGGGAGCAGCCCCAGGCCACTGCACCTCTGGGAAGTTCCCCCACCCACTGCTGGTCCCCACCCCAGACCCTCCAGGCTTACACTCCTCTTAGCATAAAATTCTAAGTCCTCCTCACAATCTGACCTTCTCTCTGCTTCTCCTGCCCATCTCCCTCAGGAAGCTCAGTTGTACTGGTCACCCTGCAGTTCCCCCAGTGCTAGAAGCTTCTTCCTGCCTCAGGGCCTCAGGGCCTTTGTACTGGCTTGCCTCCTTCCCAGAAGGCTGATCCCAGGTTCTTTTTTTTTTTTTTTTTTTTTTTTTTTTTTTTTTTTTTGCTTTTTGGGTCACACTCAGCGATGCACAGAGGTTACTCCTGGCCAGGAGCCATATGGGATGCTGGGAATCGAACCCAGGTCAGCCGCGTGCAAGGCAAACGCCCTACCCGCTGTGCTGTCACTCCAGCCCTAGATCCCAGGTTCTTTTGACTGCTTCTCTTCACTCTTCAAGAACCTTCCCAGACCCCCTCATTTTGGAGTGGAAGGTCCACCTTCCAGCCCAAAAAGGACCCTTTTTTGGGGGGGAGGAGGTGCCGGAGCACACCCAGCTGTGCTCAGGGCTTAACTCCTGACCCATACTCTTAGTTCAAGTCTGAGAATCTGCTCCAGTCCAAGTCCACAGTTGTCCCCAGCATGCAAGGGGGGCTGGGAGAACAACGGGCTTGGCAGAAAGCCCAGCTCTGCCACCTATTGGCTGTGTAACCTTGAGTGAGTGACTTCACATTTTTGGATATCCTAGGGGTCTACCTAACCCAGCTGTTGTGTGGATTAAATAAAAGCTGGGGCCAAAGAGATAAGTACAGGGCTAAGGCTCTGGCCCTGCATAGAGCTGATCCTGGTTTGATCCTCGGCACTGCATATGAACCCTGAATAGTGTTCAGTGTTAGGATGACCCCTAAGTCCAGATTCAGAAGTAAGTCCTAAGCACTTTCAGGTGTGGCCCCAAACCCCAAGATAAGTAAATAGGTAAATAAGTAAAATACAGGTATATGCAAAGCCCCCTATCGAGAGGGGTAGGAAGCCGAAAGGAGCTGTCGCCTTCCTCATCAGCTCAGCTCCAATTCCCCACCTCAAAACTCTTCAATAGTTGCCTAGTGCCCTCAGTATCAAGGTCCTCTAAGACGAGGCAGTATCCTGGCTTTCCAGTACCACATGACACCCCTCTCTCTCTCTCTCTCTCTCTCTCTCTCTCTCTCTCTCTCTCTCTCTCTCTCTCTCCCTCTCGTATGCAAGGCAAGTACTCTACTGATGAACCACCTAGGAGGGACCTGAAGAAGGCCCTTGTTGGGTCCCCACACTCCCTCCCTTTCCCCCCAACACTCCCCACCCCGCCAGGCCACTTCTGGTCCCCTGTGCAAGTGATGCAAAGATCCACAAGGTTCAGGCTTAGGCTCCTATTCCGCCTCTTACTAGCTGAGGACATTTAGATGAATTCCTTTGCCTCTCTGTGCCTCTGTTTTCTAACGTGTCAAGTGGGCTTCTGAGGAGGGGGGATCAGGAGGAAATAAAAGACATTGTCATTTCTGGATATTCCTGCCTGTGCCCTGCCCCATCCTTCTGGGCTCTGTAGAGCCAGCCCTGACTGCCTGGGCCTGTGTGATTTCTCCCCAACTCACTCAGCTGGCAACATGATCCCGAGGAGGGAGGGAAGGAGAAGAGCAGTGAGGTACCCAGACCTGGAGTTTGGGGGTGGGCAGCTTCCTACCTTCCCCCTCGCTGATGATCTCCTGGTCTTCCTGGGGGCTGGAGGGACACAGGGCTGAGATCCACCGCTGCTTCTCACTTCTAGGGAGAGGGAGGCTAAGCTGGGACATCCAGCAGTGCAGAAGCCATGCTCCCATCCAGGGTCTGGCTTCCAGCTTCAAGCCCTTCTCCCAAGCTGAAAGGAGCAGAGCTGGAGCTTCCAGGATGCCAGCCCCGCCCAGGTCCTGCATTCTGCCTCCCTCCTCAAGCCAGAGAGAATAAATTGAGTCTTTGCTGGAGGTGCAGGGGATCCCCCAGCCCCAGGCTCACTCACTCTGTGCGTGCCCTCAGCAGGAACTGGTGCTTGGCATGTTGCCCGTGGAGGAGCTGAAGGAGAAACACGTGGCCGGGGATGCCCTGGAGCTTGAGACTCAGGTCTTTTACCTGCAGCTCAGCCATCTTGGCATGGACAAAAACGGCAAACTTGCCGAGCCTGCAGGACCAAGCAGGAGGTTAGCGGGGGTTGGGCCCAGCCCCATTCCCTCCTCCCCAGGTAAGATCTGATTAGAAGCGGAGTGAAAGGGCCATCTGACCTCTACCAACTTCTCAAGGACACTTGGCTCTGCACAGCACTGGCTCCCCAGTAGCCAGCAAAGACCCAAGAGGAAGTGGGAATTAATTCCATTCCTGCCAGCTTACTGCCAGGCGGGAGGTGAGAGACTCAGCCTCCCTGAAAAGATCTATGGATTGTTTGGGATCTGACTCTAACTGGCATGAAAGGCTGAACTTTTACTCTTGTTGGCTCTTGGAGTCCAGTGCCCTACCTCACCTGGAGTCCAAGTTCAGGAAATACTGGGGGAAGAATGGGTGGGTGGGGAGCCAATGTACCAGAGGATCCTTTATCTCAACTCATCAAAGCAAAACCCAGTATCTCTAGCTCCAAAGCAGATCCCCTTCACTGTCCACACTCCCGCAAGAGATGCCACCACATTGCCCACGAAGAAAATCGGCAGTAATCCTCACATTATCTTACCACTTCTTCTCACCCAAAATTAACAGCTATGTCATGTTAATATATCTGATATATTAATAGATACATCTGTTTTATCCCCTCACAGTCCACAGAACTCATGTATCTCTGAGGTCCTTACCACTTCTACATCATCCAACTGCACCTGGACAACTGTAAGAACCTCTGGTCTTTCCAATTTAGACTATCCTCCAAATTGGCCAAGAATAAAATGTCACTGGGGCTGGAGCAATAGCACAGTGGATAGGGCATTTGCCTTGCATGCGGCCGACCCAGGTTTGATTCCCAGCATCCCATATGGTCCCCTGAGCACCGCCAGGAATGATTCCTGAGTGCAGAGCCAGAAGTCAGCCCTGAGCATCGCCGGGTGTGACCCAAAAAGCAAAAAAAAAAAAAAAAAAAAAAAGAGTAAAATGTCACTGATTAATTTTCTGTGCTCACCAGGAGGACTGGCCCGTGGTTGGAAGCTTGCCGCTAGTGTGGAGAGAGGGCATTTAGGATAGTGAAGGGACCCCTATGACAATGATAGTTGGAAATGATCACTCTAGACAAGAATTGAATGCTGAAAGGAGATGCCTATACTGCAAACCACAATGCCCAGAAGGAAAGAGAAAGAGAGAGAGAGAAGAAAAATGCCATTCATAGAGGAAGGCTGGGGGTGGGGGACTGATGGAGTGAAACTGGGGACATTGGTGGCGGGAAATGTATGGTGAATGGAAGGGTGTTGGAACATTAAATGACCAAAACCCAACCATGAACAACCGTGTAACTGTGAACCTCACAGTGATTTAATAAAAATTAAAATTTTCTATGCTCTCACCTGCCCTGAGAAAAAATTCCACTCTTTACTATGACTCCCCACTTCCCTTCCCTTTCCTGCCCTTCTTCTCTACAAATAGGCTTCATCATCCCCCACACACTGTTTTACGCCTTCTATGACTTTGCTATCCCCCCTTCAAGTCCATTATACCTGGAAAACCCTTACACATCCTTCAAAACCCATCCTTCAAATGTCCTTTCCTTTGTGAAAGCTCACTGATTTTCATCCAACAACCAGGGATGCTATAGTACCTGTACACCTTTCCATCAAAACCTAAAGGGGTGCTATCAGGATGTACATTAACTGGTCTGAGAGCTCCTCCAAGCTGACATCTAATTCCCTTCATCTCTATGTCCTCTGCACCTATCAAAGGGTCTGGTTACAAAAAAGGGTTTAGTCAGAAATGATCCCCATAGCATATTAATCCTTCGTCCCATCAAGTCGAAGGCTTGCTGCATTCAGGAAGTCTTGAAGTCTTGCCCTCATCCCAAGTGAATAACAATCATAGCCAATACTGTTATGCCTGGCATATGCCAACCCTTTTTCTGTATTTGTTTTCTGTATCTGTATTTGTTTTCTGTTTTTGTTTTTGGGACACACCTGGTACTGCTTAGGGGTTACTCCTGGCTCTGCAGCCAGGAATTACTCCTGATGGTGCCCAAAGGGATACGTGGGATGCCGGGGATAGAAGTTGGGTTGACTGCACACAAGATAAATGCCCTATCTGCTGTACTATCTCTCCAGCCCTGTTTCTCCTGTATTAATCTCACACTGAATGTCCCTCCATGGCAATCTCTATAGGCAGATGGCAGAGTGGCTGAAAGCCTGGAATCTGACCTCCTCCTGGCTCCTGTCCTTACTAACTCTGTGATCATGAGAACAGTGGAGCTTAGTCCCAGAGGGACATTTAGGGGATGAAAGGGCAGACTCGTGCTCGCTTCGGCAGCACATATACTAAAATTGGAACGATACAGAGAAGATTAGCATGGCCCCTGCGCAAGGATGACACGCAAATTCGTGAAGCGTTCCATATTTTTTGAAACCAAAGCACAAAAAATTGTAAATCTACAACTTTAAAAAAAAATAAAATAAAATAAAGGGGGAAAAAAAAAAAAAAAAGAAAGGGCAGACTCCAGACCCAGGAGATAACCCCTGAGTGCATGCCAGGCATGTGGCAGCCCCAGGTCCAATTCCTGGCCCTAGTGATCCCTAGCACTGAGCTCAAGCAACTCTGGGCCAAGTATCATCCAGAGTGGCCCCTGGACCTCCCAAGTGTTATTTGGGAGACCCCCAAAAACTTTGTAAATTAAATAAAAATGAAGGGTATAATCCACAGAATTCTAGGCACGGAATAGGTGCTCAGTAAATGTCTATAACCATGATGAGCCAGGATGGAGCTGGGGCTCCTGGATTGTGTTCTTAAGCTCTGTCCTGATTGGCTGAAGCACAGAGAGGCTTCAAGGCCTCTGCATACAGTGTGAACCTTGGGTCTCAGCTCTTGGAAATGGACTTCCCTTGCCTCACATTTATCCATAACTTTCCTTTGGGAGCATCCAGGTTCACGGTGCCCTGGTGGGACCTCCTTGGAGGGGGGGGAGAGGGATCCCCTCTCCATCAACCTCCCCCCACTCTGCCCGACTCACTCTTTCCGCCTTGAAAGCAGCAAGCAGTCGTTAAACAGGTGCAGGTAGACCGCCTTGCTGGACAGTTTCAGCTTAGCAGGGGGCGCGGCGGGCAGCGGTGCTAGCTCCACCAGCTCCCCATGCCGAACCAGCCAGCGGGCCTGGGAGATCAGCGGGAAGATCTGGAGGATGGGGCAGGTAAATGGGAAGGACTGGTCAGGCTCAGGGGAACCCAGGCGGAGAGAACACTGGGCAGGGAGGGGCTGGAGGATGTGAGCAAGAGTTGGACTGGTCTGCAGCCCCAGGGAAGGTGGGCAGGAGAGCCCCTTTTGGTTCCGCCAGCCTGGGCACGCACCTTGCCCTCAAAGTGGATCTTCTTACTCAGGTGGATGAGCTCCTCCGTCCTCTTCATGGATTGCACACTGGCGTTGCACTCTTGCACCAGCTGGGGAGGCCATGGTCAGTCACCCGCAGCCCCTACCCCACCTCCCAGAGCCCAGCCTCAGACTCCTGCCTTAGGGCCAGAGACTCCAAAATGTCCTTTAGGGACAGGCTGGGAGGTGGGGACCCTTCAGATGCAAGTGAGCTCACCTCCTTGAGTGCATTGAAGGCTTTGGTGGCCATGTCCTCATCTTCAGAGCCCTGTGCTGTCCGCTTTAGAATGTTCTAGGTGGGAAGAGAAGTGGCACAACAAAGCTGGCTGTGGGCTCCACCTATGACCCTGCACACCTAGGACTGCCCCCAAAGTGTCTGTGGAGGGCCCCCTAGGGGTGCCTGTGCCCAGCCCTCTGCAGGGTTTGGGGTCCCGGGTTACCTCCACCAGCATCTTGAGGCGGGTGATCCTCTGGAAGGGCAGGATGAGGAAGGAGGTGAGAGGCAGCCGCTGGCACACGGGGGACTCCTCCAGGCGAGCCAGGATTCCAGGAAACTTGGGATTCTCCAGGCTGCAAAATGGGCAATGGCCTGGGGTCCCACAATGATTCAGGGGTCCCAAGAGCTCCTGCTTCCTGGTCCCATCCACCCCATTAGTTCTTCCAGCGACTTCTCAGCACATTCTTCCTTCCCCTTGGGCTCAGATGCTGGGCACAGCCCTTCCTTGGTGCCCCAGTGTTCTGTGCCCTCTCCTGCCTGGCCCACTATCTGCACCCCACCCTTCCAGAACCCCAGCCTACAGCAGGCGCTGGTAGGTGCGCTCCTGGTAGGCCTGGTTGGTGACATAGGGCAAGTAGACACGGCGGAAGGCAGGGCAGTGGTACAGCACGACATCACACACGCTGAAACGAAGGACGTCTGCTTCCAGGCGCTGCTCAAGGTCCTGCAGGAACCTGGGGGTAGGGATGGGATGGGGAGGGGGTGAAGGCAAGGCGTCAACGAGGGGTCAGAGTCTGGACGCACCCCTCAGACCTGGACTGGTCACACAGGTTTGGTCTTGACCCCCAACCCCAGGTTTGACCACCACTCACCTCTCACTGGTGCTCTTGACCTCAGGCAGTTTGGAAAACAACCACTGCTTGTCCTGCGCCCCCAGACACTCACTCAGCTCCGCAGAGCCTAAGAAGTGCCCCACGGCCACTGACAGGCTGTGGATGTACGAGGCCTCAGAAGTGATCAGCTCAAACTTGGCCTAGGCAAGGATAGACGCAGGCTGACACGGCTGGATCAGTCCTCCACGGATGCCTCCACTCGCATAACCTCCCTCCCCACGCCCTGGACGAGACTCTCGAGACATAGGCGCATCTCTTCTCTGGCCTCACCCGTGATCTGGAACTGTCACCATCAGCACAGTTCAAACCTAGAGGAGCCCGGGATTTCACTCCTAGCCCCTCCTATCGGACCCTGCCTTTAACATAGGTGTCACCCCCATCCTTCATGGCTCCACCCTTTCTTGACCTTGCTTTCCTTGATCCCACCTTGCAGGACCCTGGCTGATTCCCTCCTCTGGCCAGGCTCCAACCTAGGCCTCTCCTTGTTGGCTCCGCCCATTTCCCCATCCCTTCTTCCAGTCTCTGAGAGGAGTTCTGGGGGCTCCTCCCCGCAGCCTTGCAGCTTGCCGCACCTTGACTGGTCTGAACACCTGCCAGCCTGCCATCTCCGTTTCCCAGGCCGGGTGTCCTGACCACCTTCAGAGTTTTGCAGTCCCGCTTAATCTGCATGCAGGGTCCCGCCCCCTGTGGCTCCACCCCTATGGCCACGCCCCCTAGTTCCTCTACCCCACCCCACTCCGCCCCAAGTCACGCTCTCTTTGGCTTGCCAGAGTGCTCTCTCCCCGTCCCTGACAGAATGACCACGCCCTCTCCCCGCCCCCGACACAATGACCACGCCCCCTCCCCGCTCCCGACAGGAGGGCCACGCCCCGCCACGCCCTCCAGATGGCCACGCCCCCTAGGGTGGTCCCTGCTCCCACCTCCTGCAGTTTGCAGTCGCGCAGGCTCAGCGTGGCCAGGACACCGCTGCCGCGCACGTCGGGGATGTCCTGCCACAGCGAGAAGGTGGAGCCTCGCGCCGAGCGCTGCGCACGGAAGGAGCTGCTGGGGGAGAGGTTGGTGCGCGGCGGGCCCGGCCCCTCCTCCGCGACCTCCGCCTCGTCCGCCGGGCCCTCCTCCTCGCGCTGCTGCCGCCGCAGTTCGCGGGCGCTGGCCACGTCGCTGTATTCCTGGTAGAGGACAGCTGGGCGGGGAGAAGGTCGGGACAGAGCCGTGGGGCGCCTGCCAGCCGCGCCCGCCTTCTCCCGGCTCGCCCCAGGCCCGCCGCCCTTAGCAAGCCTTTCCGACGGTTCGGATGTCAGGGCACGGTGAATTCATTCATTCACTCACTCGTTCCGTAAACACCGCGAGGGGCACCACGGCCGCGCCCTAGCCGCTGCGCTCCTCAGCGAGGATGCAGTGGTCACCCTCGCCCTCCACCCCGTGTCCCGACTGTCCCTGGGGTCTCCCCCGCCCCCACCCCAAGTCCCCAGTCCCTCCCACCTACAGTTCAGGAGGAACCGTGACTGGCGCCGCTCGCTCGCGCTCCTAGAACTCAGAGCCGGCTCTTCCGGCGTGTCCAGCCTAGAAAAGGGAGAGTGTCTGCGTCCTTCGTCCTTGACACTTCTCCTCCGACCCGGGTCCGGAGTGGGTGACAGTACCTGGGCTCCGGCCAGCCACTGTGGGCCCCGCTCGAGTCAGCAGGGACAGGCATCACCGTACTGTCTAACCTCATGTCAGCACTGCGCGACTCCCTTCCGGGGGCTTTCCCTGGGGAGGGCGAGAACTGAGGTTACATGATCCCAGGAACGACCCTGTCGTGGGCATCACTCTCCAGCTCACCAGCACCCAAAGGGTCCAGTGCAGATCGCCACCCTCATCTGGCATGTGGGTGCTATGGGCCCAAGAGAGGAGGGTCGGTCGTTACCTTCACGGGGGGCTGTGGTGCCACTGGCGGCTAGCACCCTGGCTGCTGAGCTGCGGCCCAGCCGCAAGGAGGAGTGCAGGCGGGTCATCAGCTCAGAGGCTGAGAAGCGCCTCCGCTCTGGCCCCTCCAGGCTGACCCGGGTGGCCCCGGACAGCTCCAGTGGCCTCGGCTCCTCTGTGCTCAGGGCCTGCTGAGAGGCCTGGCCAGGCTCAAGGAAAACCGGCTGGGCCTCAGAGCTGCCAGGGCCTTCCTCGCGCTGGTACACCCGCATCTTGCGCCCTGCAGAGGGTTGGGGGGAGAGCACAGGCTACGGCCGATGGTCCCTCCCCTGCACCTGCCTCCTCCTGCCCTGAGTTTCTGAGCATCTGGGGCACATGCCAGGGGAGGAGCTGGGTTCTCAGAGGGTACTGGTGCCTGGGCAGTGGAAACACTAGCACAAGGGCTAGAGAGGCCAGACCTCACCACGGGAGGAAAGGGGCCCTCCCCCTGGCTGACTGTGTGATCTCAGACAAGTCATGTGCCTCCCCTGAAGGCCCATTCCTGGTCACGAACGTTAATTCGGAGTCCTGAAAGGGTCCTGAAAGAGCCAGCAGCCTCCCCGCTCTCCATCCCACTACCCCCCCCCCCCCCCCGCCAAGTGACTCACAGGCTGACTTCTTCTCTGAGCCATGGCTGGCCCTGCGCTGCGGCTGTGGGTGCCGGGGACTCCAGGGTCCCTCTAGTGCTGTGGGCTGGGCACTCGGGCAGTGCGGCCAGCTGCCAGCCCTGCTGGGCCGCATGCCCCCGCTGGTGTTGATCTCAGGGTCTGGGCTTCCTGGAGGTGATGTCCATAGGAGAGGGGCGGGGGTCCCCAGAGACCAGCGGCTGCCGGGAGCCCTGAGCTCCTCTGAGGTGACAGGGAAGAGGTCCAGACACACAGGGCTGGGCGGCTGCAGGGCGGGCAACTCCACAAAGGACAGACTCTCCTCCTGGCACACGGCGACCAGGGGGCAGGCGGTGCCAGGTGGGCCAGCCAGGTGGGCCTGGAGTGTGGCAGGTGGTCCACAGTCCATTCCTTTTCCACTCTGCCACCCACTGCACCTGTGGGGAGAAGGAATCAAAGATAGCGTAGGATACCAGAGCTGGTCAGTGAGCCACCATGTCCTGGAGGCCTAGACAAGCCCTTGCGGATATGTGCAAACACACTCAGATGCCAACTTTTACAGCACATGCCAATGCACCAGTGACCAGCCTGGAACTCTACACATATATGCCACTCCTCCCAGCAGCCCTGAGTTGATGCTGGCATTCTCCCCCATTGTACAGGTGGCAAAAGTAAGGCTCAGGAGGTTGTCATGTGGTTAGCAGTGAAGCCAGGATTCCAACCCAGGCAGTCTGGCTTCAGAGCCTGCATTGGGCATCCAGAAGACCCCTAGCTACATGCTTTTTCACACAGAGTAAAAAGTCTGTTCGACGTACCTCCACACACGTTTTCTTCCAAGTACACCCAGAGGCAAGATAGTTACCCAGACACACCCAGACCAATTAAAAAATCAGTCCCACAAGCTCTTTTACGCAAACAACATCCACGAGCACACTTTCTCACACACACGCTGACCCATCAGATACTGGCACCTTCTCGCCTCTGTCCATCCACACTGACACACCAGCATGTACACACAAACCCCCGGCACAGAAGTGCTTGCTCTGGTATTACCCAACCTCCTCTCCCGTGGCCAGACTTACAGCCTTCAGTGCTGAGCGGTGCCCACACCCATGCCAAGCTGGCTAGGAGAATCACAGACTGGCAGGCAGGCCACCCTCCAGATGCGACTGGGCCCTCCCAGGAGAAGGGCAGGGAGGCGCCCCAGCCGCCCCCTCCCCTCCAGCTTGGTTCTTGCCAACTCCTGCTCCCAGCCCTGGGATCTGACGGAGCTGATCAGGTTCCCTCTGGGGAAGAGAAGTCATTCCCAGGGAGACGGTCAGCGTCTCGACCCGGCCAGTGATGCAGGGGTCTGAACCCCTGCAGCCCTGGCCCCCGTAGCCCTCCACCAGTTGCCCTTCCCTCTAGCTCTCACCTCTCCAGCCGAGGCCAGGCTGCTGCTGCCGAAGCTGTTGTGCTGCTGGGCAGGGAAGCCCTCTCTGCCCAGCTGGCGGGGGAGATCCCACCCAGACAAAGAGTTTGATTCACCAAACCCTGTGGTGAGGCAAGCGGGTAGAGGGAGGGAGCAGGCAGCGGACTGGGCGGGGGCCTACCCTAGCCTGGCCTCACTGTGGGCAGGCATGTGTGTGTGTGTGTGTGTGTGTGTGTGTGCATGCGTGTGTGCGTGTGGACACCCTTAGCCCCCACCAGCCAAAGGGGCAGTGCCCAGCCTGGCTGGATCAGGAGAGATAAAGACTTCAAGAAATGAGGTTCCTTCAGACAGCTACTCCAAAATGAGATCCCCGGACAATCAAAACCAGAAGACCACAGACACAGAGATGTACGGGGACCCAAAAATGAAGATGGCGAGACAAAGACACGGAACATCTCAGGCAGAGCTGACACTTGGAGACAGATGTGAAGCCCAGAAAAACCCAGGGGACAGATAGATAGACTAACAGTTGATGCCCCACAGGGTTGCCAGTCTAACAGGGGAGCCAAAAAACAAAAACACTTACAATCAGGCAAGAGCCAAGCCGGAGGAGCCATCCAAGAAGGGTGTCTGGCTCAACTCCACCTGGCATTCCAGGAAGGCTTCCCGGAGGAAATAACAGTTAACTGTCCTCAACTGAAATACTCGGGGACTTGGGGAATTCAGGGAGAAAGCCTTGGCTTGAGTGTCAGGGACTCTGAGGGAGGGTGGGAGGAGAGAACCCAGTGGGGGAGCACTGAGTCGCTGATGGGCCCACTCCTCACTGCAGAGCCCCTCCCTTGCTTTCTCTGCTTTCTTACCCTGGGAGGGGGCTGCTCCTTAGGGACAACTCTAGTTTGTCCCTTAAACCCTCAAGCCCCACTTGACCCACACCATCCATCTCCCTCTTTCCTCATCTATTCCTAGGGTAGCGTGTGCATAAACAGAATTGGCCATTTTTCTCCAAGTTATCAGGAAAAAGTTATCTACTCTTGGGGCAATTGGGGCCACCACACAGATATGGAAAGGAAACCGAAGCTGCAAGGGTGGCCCTGTCCACTTCGCAGGAGCATGTGACAGGAGACACAGGGGACCCCCTACCGGCTAGACAGATGTTCTTATTTTGGGGGGCGGGGATGGCACAGAGACTGTACTCAGGGCTTACACTTGGTTACACCTGGCTCTGTGCTCAGGGATCACTCCTTCTGGTGCTCAGAGGGCCATGTGGGATGCCGGAGCTGGAAGCCAGGTCAGCTTAGGTGCAATGCAAGTGCCCTACCCACGGACTGTTAATCCAGCCCCTAGAGACATTCTTTGTCACACCCAGTAGAGCTCAGAGGTTACACCTGGCTCTGTACTCAAGTTACTCCTGGCAATGCTTGGGGGACCATATGGGATGCCAGGGATTGAACCCGGGTCCAGCCACATGCAAGGCAAACACCCTACTCACTGTATTATCACTTTGCCCCCGCTAGAAAGACATTCTTGCACTCCAGGAATCCCAAGTCTAGAGCACCCAAGTCCCAGTTGCTTCTGCAGGCATGTGTGTGCAAGCATACACATCCTGTTGCCTTGCATTCTGGGAGATTCTCTTCCCTGGGGTTCTAGAAGCTCTTGGAGGGCAGCAAGGAGAGTCTTCTCCACTGCCAGCTGCAGGCACAAATGTGCAAAACACGGAGCCCTTGGGACAAGGCACTTCCTGCTAAAGGCAGGATGGAAAAGGCTGTACACATGGGAAGCAGGAGAGGGATGAGACTGGCTAGTGAGTCACCTCCAGATCTGCCGAGGTCAGGGGTGACTGAGCATGACCAGTATGAGAAGCCAGGGATGCAGCTCAGGGGCAAAACACACTCCTGTGTGCGGGAGACCTGGCTTTGATCCCAGGTGCTGCAAAGTGAATAAGCAAATAAAATACACAATGAAGAAGAGCTGGGATGCCAGTCAGGTGGCCGCAGACCCTTCAGGACCCAAGTACTGGGGAGCCAGGCGGAGACTGTGCTTGTGCCATGTGTGGCTCATTTGCTAGGAAAAAAGAGAAACTCAGGACAAGAATTGGCCCAGGGATATCATCGGCCCAAGCACAGTCACTGGCTACTCCACAGTGTTCACTGGGTCATCCTGAAAAGCCACAAGGAGAACCTCAGTGCAGGTTCAAGGTCCATTGTTGACACTGACCAGCTGTGTGGCCTTAGGCAAGTCACAGGCTGTCTCTGGACTTCAGCGTCCCCCTGAGTTAAGTAGCCTCCCAGGTCTCCCTGTTGGCCTTCCCTTCTCAGGGACCTGGTCCTGCTGTCTCTGCAGGCTGAGGAGGATGGGCTAGGACAAAGGGGGCGGTGGGGGTTCCGGGTAGACACTGCTAATCACAGGAGCACCGGGTCCACCTGGCCAGGCAAGGGGGAAGGTTGGACTCTGGCTCCTATGCCCTGCTCCTCCCTGCCCCCCTTTCAGGGAGCGCCTGCCCTGCTGCCGGGAGAAGCGGGGTTCGAGCAGGTCCCCTGAGCCCCTTAAATGACAAAGTCAAGAGAGAGAGGGGGGGGGGGGTCATGACCGGAAAGGAGCTCCAGGCCACCAAGGCTGCAGGACCTACTGAGGCCAGAGCCCTGAGTGGGTCTGGCGCGACTCAGCGACTCAGCGGGCAGCCAGGCACAAAGGATTCCCTGGGAGACTGGCAGGGGGGGAGGAAGGGGCCACTGGCAGGAGGGTAGGGCCCTACCTCAGCCGGGGAGCTCAGTCCAGCCTCCAGCACGGTCCAGGGCTCCAAGGCACCCGGGGGGGCCCTGGGGGTGCAGCCAGGTCCTCAGGGGGCCATGTCGGCATGGCCCCTGCGCCAGGCCAGGGAAGCTCCCGGGTATTGTGTGGGGCGGGGAGAGGGGAGGTGAAGGCGGAGGGAACCTTGCAGGCGGGCAGGTGGCTGTCTCAACGTGCCTGCTCCCCGCCCCCCTTCCCCAGAACCGGTTTGGCCAGTCTGGGGTACAAGAGGGGGGCTGGAACAATGGAAGTCCTATGCCCTGGAGAAGCTCTGAAGGACCCCAGACTGAAGTCCTCAAGATGGGAGAGGCTCTGCTTCTCCTCCCAAGGGACAGGTCACTGTGCTCCTGGCACTTCCCGAAAGGGAGCTGTGCCCTAGACTCCTGGGGACAGTAAGGCATGCTGGGAGCTCCTTAGAGACCCTCCTGAGCCCTGACAATGAAGCGCCTCTGAGAGCTTGGGAGTGGCCAGTTAGGACCCCTTCAGAGCCAACAGCAGCATCTGCAAAGTGAGAGCATGTCTCCAGGGGATGGAAATCTGCACCACAGGGACCATCCTGCTAATGTCATCCTGGCCAGCCCTTCCAGCATCACACAGGAATGGCTCATCCTTCCCTATTGCCTAGAACAGACGCTCTCCCCGTCTCCAACAGCCTCTTCCACCATGAAGCCTTCCTAGACTCATGGGCACCAAAGACGCCCTCAATAAGCCAACTCAAGAGCTCCAGCAGAGCAGCCTTCTTCCCCAGTATGATTGCTCTGTGCCCAGCAGGCAATCATGCCACGTCTGTGAAAGCTGCTTTCTTCTTAATGCTTACTACCTGTCATTTAGGCAAGCACGCTGTAATCGCCAGGCGTTGAGTATGACTATGGGTGCACATACTAATAGTTCTGCTGCTAATAATTCTTCTTGTGCACTGACTACACACCAGGTGTGGTTCCAAGTGCATCACACCTATTTCTTCATGTCACCTCCACCACTACCAGAGGCGGTGGTGAGGAGAGAAACTATTGCCTCTCTCACTGAGCAGATGAGGACATGAGGCTTGTCCAGGTTAAGTCACGGGCATTATCCCATTTCAATCTCTCATCAGCTCTATGAATTCCCTATTTTATAGATGACGAAATTGGAGTTCAAGGGATTAAATAACTTGCCTAAGGTGACACAGCTAATTAGAGTCAAGACTAGTATCCAAACCCAGCTCTGACTCTACCATGCACATGCATACTTAACCACTAGTTCTGTCTCAGCTGGCTTTTATTTTTTAGTTTAGATTTTATCTTTCGGTTTGGGGGACAAACGTGGTGCTCAGGGGCTACTCCTGGCTTGGTCCCTGGGGGCTTGGTCACTCCCTGTGGTGCTTGGAGGACTGTGCGGTGGCATGGATCAAATCTGGGTTCCAGCACGCAAAGCACAAAACTTCCAGCCCATAGATTTATCTCTCTGGCCCATTTTATTTTTAAGATTTTGGTTTGGATCCCAACCCAGTGGGGCTGGAGAGGGAGAAGGCTGTTGGTAGGATTCCACATGTAAAGCATGTACTGTAGCCCTTTGAGTCATAGCCTCTTACTACGGAAGTTCATTGAGATCTATCTCAACTGACCTAAAGAACTAAATCAGGGGCTTAGTAGAGTGGGTAAGTCTCTTGCCTTGCATGCTGGGTTCGATCCTGACAGCCATGTGTTTCCCTGAGTACTTCCAGGAATAGTTTCTGAGTGTAGAGCTACGAGTAACCCCTCAGCACTGCAGGGTGTGGCCCCAAACCCAAAAAAAAACCCACAAAACTGGGGCTGGAGCAATGGCACAGCGGGTAGGGTGTTTGCCTTGCACGTGGCCATCCCGGGTTCGATTCCCAGCATCCCATATGGTCCCCCGAGCACTGCCAGGAGTAATTCCTGAGTGCAGAGCCAGAAATAACCCCTGTGCACTGCTGGGTGTGACTTAAAAAGCAAATCATTTTATTATCTTTAATACCCTACCCCGAAAATAAGATTAGTCTTTTTCTCCATTTATTGAGATATAGTTGACATATACAGTACTACATAAATTTAAGATGTATGGGGCAGAGAGAAAGTACAGCAGGTAAGGTGCTTGCCTTGCACATGGTCAACCTAGATTCAATGGCTGGCACTCCATATGGTCCCCTGAGCACTGCCAGGAGTTATCCTTGAGTGTAAGTCAGGAGTAATGCTAAGCACCTCCAATGTGGCCTACCAAAAAATAAATAGGAACTGGAGAGATAATATAGCGGGTAAGGTGTTTGCCTTGCATATGGTCAAGACAAGTTTGAGCCTTGGCACCGCATGGTCCCCCAAGTCCACCAGGACTGATTCCTGAGTGCAGAGCCAGGAGTAACCCCTGAGCATTGTCAGGTGTGACAGCCCAAAAAAAGTTAAGATGTATAATGTAATTATTGACTTATCTATATTGTGAAATTATTACCACAGTAAGTTTAACTAATATCCATCATTTCACACTGGTAAAAATATAGAAAAAAGGGGCTAAAGCAATAGCACAGCAGGTAGAGTGTTTGCCTTGCATGCAGCCAACCCAGGTTCGATTCCCAGCATTCCATATGGTCCCCCGAGCACCGCCAGGAGTAATTCCTGAGTGCAGAGCCAGGAGTAACCCCTGTGCACTGCCAGGTGTGACCCAAAAAGAAAATATATATATATATATATATATATATATAGAGAGAGAGAGAGAGAGAGAGAGAAATATTAGTGCAAACATGTGTGACATCCTGGGCTTAATTCCCTGGTCCCAGAAAGAAAAGAAAAAGGGTTTTACCCTTGTATGAGAAATTTTAGATTCACTGATATACCTAATAACATTCAGAATTGCCTTAGTGTTTACTATAATAATTATGGTGTAAGTTGCACCACTAGTACATATTTATCTTATAATTGGAAATTTGTGCCTTTGTACTACTTTCATCTAGCAACTCTGATCTTTATTTCCGAGTTTTCTTTTTTTGCTATTTTCTATAAAAAAAAAAATGGGAACCAGAGTGATCGATACATTGGGTAAAGCACTGCCTTGCAAAAGGCTGACCTGGGTTCAATCTCCAGCGCTGCTTATGGTCTCTGAGCCACACCAGGACTTATTCCTGAGCACAGAGTCAGGAGTAAGCCCTGAGCACTCTTTAGGGTGTGGCCCCCCGAAACCCCAATATTTAAATAAATAAAACAATGCCCCAAGATCCACCAATTTCATTATGAGTGGTAGGATTTTGTTTCTTTTTTATTACTAAATAACATCCTGGTGTATATATGCACATTTACTCTATCTTCTTTGTCCATTCATCAGATAATGTGTACCTGTGTTGATTTCAAGTCTCGGCTGCTGTAATAAATGCAGCAATGAAGATGGGAGTCCAGATTATCTCCTTGGTGTAGTGCTTTTTGCTTCTTTTGGCTATATTCTCAAAAGCATCCCCACCACCAAAAAGGACCCTAAGCCCCTTGCTTTCCCTCTAATAACCACCATAGTGTTCACTAAGCCCCAGAGCCAGATTTCTTGTTTTTCGGGCCAGTTCATTTGCTTTAGTTACTTATATCTACACGAGTGAGATCATCCAGAAATTGTCTTTTACTACCATACTTATATCACTTAGCATAATTACAAGTTTCGTCAATTGAAATTGTCCGAGATGACACAATATCTTTTTTAATGACACCATAATATTCTGTTGAATATACCAATATAGATTGCTTTTGCATTCAGTCATCTCTCCACAAGTATTTAGATTGATTTTATATTTTAGCTATTGTGATAATGATATGAACATAGATGTGTAAATGTCCTTTTGAATTATTTTTTCATTAATAATTAGTGTTCTTTTGATTTTAAATATATGCCTAATATTGCTGGATCAATAGACTTTCCACTTTTATATCTTTTTATTCGGTGAGGCTCAGGGGACCATAGGAGGTTCTGGGGATCAAACTCAGGTCAGCATGTGCAAAGGCAAGCACTCTACCCACAGTACAATTGTTCCAGCCCCTTCCCATTTTTTTAAATTGGGTTGCTTGCTTTTGTGTTGTTGAGATGTACAAAAAATTTTGGGGGGGTTATATGTTAGATATTAACTCTTTGTAGACGCAAGATGTACAAATATCTCTCAGTTGTTAATCTGTCTTTTTGTTTCTGTGGTAGTTTCTTTCACTGTGTAGAAGACTGCCATTTTGATTCAGTCCCATTCCTTTTCTCTTGGTTGCCTTTCCATTAGTATTAAGGCTTCAGAAACATTCCTAATGCTGTGGTCCTAGTGTATCTCATCTATTCTCTCCTATGTATTTATTATGATTTTAGATATAATATCCAAGTCATTTGTTCATGGGTCTCCAGTTTTCCCAGCTCCTTTGTTTTCATGAAAAGCTCTTCTTTCCCATTGTGTGATCTTGACTCCTTTATCACAGATTAAGTGTCAACATAATGTGGCAAAGGCTCATGTTATTTTTCTTACACTAGAGGCCTTAATGAGCAAATGGGCAGTGGGTCCAGGGCCCAATCCCTAATAGACTTTCCCTTTCTCTTTCATTTACTCATTTATATCCAAATTTGGTCCCTAAAGCATCATCACATAATGAGACACTCACTGAGCAGAGTGGGTGGAGACTGGGTGATGCTGGGGTAGAGAGATAGGTTTATTGTCTTCATGGTACATGGGATAGAATTTGGAGCATAGGACAAGGGAGGTAATACAGAGAATTCGCCCTCTCATTCCATTCCTGGCACCGAGTGGCTGCTGGCCATGGTACTGCCCAGACCCCTGGCCAGAAGCAGAGAACCCCAAAGGAAGGAGCATCCTGGGAGATGTGGAGTCCCGAAAGGGCAGTCCCACCTCAGTCACCACTGTGTCCTGGGTGCCAGGGATAGCATCACTGCTGCAGTGAACAGTTAGCGTGGCTTGATCAGGCTGGGTAAGCTAGGTGGTACCCCCAAAACAGAGGAGATTTAGGAGGAAAAGCCAAAAAGCAAAGAGTGTGGTATGGGTGGATTTGGGAGTTGCTGGGGCCAGGCAGAAATGAGAGGGAACCCAGTCAAGCCTCCCAGTGGGTGGGCGAGAAGGGTAGAGGGAGGTGTGGGTGGGTGGGGGCACAGTCAGAGGGCCTACAGTCAGGGTCAGTGGGCCGAACGAACTGAGAGCAGCGCTTCCCGGTTGTCCGCTAGTGCCTGCTTGGCCAAGTAGCGCTCGCGCTTGATCTTGGTAGCCAGGCCGGCTGGCACGTCGGGCACGAGCCAAGCGATGAGGCTCAGGAAGAAGAACACCACGTGCTGGATAGAGACGGAGTCAAAGAGAGAAGGATCAACTTCACAATCTCAATTCATGGAGCGCTTACTAAGTGCAAGAGACACTATTCTGGATGCGTCTCATCGAATCCTCAACACGAATTTTGGTAGGTGGGTACAATTATACTTTTTTTTTTTACACGTGAAAGTGTTAAAAACATAAAGAGGGTATAATTTGCCCAAAGACACAGAGATGCCTAACCCCTTAACACTGGGAACCCTGTGTCCTGTTTTGTTTGGGGCCCACACTTGGTGGTGCTTACTCCTGGGACTGCACTCAGGGATCACTCCTGGCGGGCCGGAGGGACCATGTAGGGTGCTGGGGATGGAACCCAGGTTGGCCTCATACCTGCTGTGCTATCGCTCCTGCCCTAGAAGTAGGACTGGAGGGAATATTGAGCAAAGCTGGAGAACAGAAGCTTCCTCTCTCCCAGTCTGTTGCCAATAGATAATAATAATCATTGTGATATTAATTCACTTAGCACCCATGATGCCTTTATGTGCAAGTGCTTGGCACTGAATCCTCATAACTACTCTGTGCAGTAGATCCTGTTTTAGAATACATCACGCTGTGCAGGCAACCGTTGGCATTGCCTGCCCTGTTTGTTACCCAGGTCAGTCCAACATAGACACCTGTGCCTACCTCGAAGGCGATGATAAAGCCCAAGCGCACAGCCAGAAGTTTCCAGTAGAAGAGGGTGAGATTCCCCTGCGCGTCGCGAAAGGCCTTGTACCTGGGTTGCAAGGAACGCGGAGTTCTGCGAGGCTCTAGGAGGATCTCCACTCCGCGAGGTTGGCAAGTTCAGGATTTACAGGCTTCCAATTCTACGCGTCAATCCACTCCCAGACTCTGGTTCCCGCCCTCCCGGCTAGGCCCCGCCCCGCCGGTCCCATAGGCTCACCGTCCCGCCTCTTGGTAAGCCACGCCCCCAGAGGGGTGGTACTCCAGGTTCTGCCCCGCCCCCGTGGCACCTCGCCATTCGCCCGCCGGGCTCCGCGCTCCGCCTCCAGCAAACCCCACCCCTTGGGGGGCCTTCCCCGGCAGACAGAATCCGTCCTCCCGCACGCACGTCTCTAACCCCAGCCACTGGTGGGGAGCCCATTGTGTCTCCCACCTGCAGGGTGTGTGGTTGCCCTGGGCAAGGTAGGCGGGAGGTGCTGGCGCCAGCGTGAAGTTGATGTAGCCGCGCAGCTGGCTGTGCTGTTCGTACTGGTACAGGAGACGCGGCAGAAAGTCTGAGGTGAAGGCGATGAGGAAAGCCTGCAGGATCCAGGACGCGCAGGCCTTCAGGGGCCAGTCTCCTAATTCACCCCCATCTGGATCCAACCTTAATACCCAGAATCCTAGCCCTATGCCGCTACTGCCCCAGCTCTGAGTCTGATTTCCAGCGTTAGCCTCTATTCCTGAGCTCCCTTTCCAGTCTCTGTTCTCCCTCTCGCCCCCTGCCCGACTGTACTCCCTGTCTTTGCCCCACACTCACATTCACAATGACTGAGAGATGGGCCATGGCTTCAAGCAGGAGCAGCCAGATCCCAATGCCCTGAGCCCGCTCAGCCACTGGCCTCCGGTACTCGCAGACGAATTTGTGGGCGTCCAGGCGGATCTCCACCCAGTTGTTGAGCAGAGCAAACAGGGGCGCCAGTGGGAAGGCTGCCACGAAGATGGTGATAAACCCAAACTGCAGCACTGGAAGGAGGGAAGTATCAGGCCTAGCGTGCCTCCAGGACCTTCCTGTGCCAGCCAGGGAGCTGAGGGGTCTGGGACCACAGGACACTGCTCACCCATTTCCAGGTATTCATCGAACAGGCCCTCACACTCGATGAGCTCATAGTCCTCCTCCCAGCGCCGCAGCTCCTGCCCGATTTGGGTGTCCCGCAGTCCTGCCAGTTGCCTTTTCTGCCACCAGGCCTTCAGCTTCCTGGGGAGGGAGTGCCGGGAGACCAGATGGTGCCGTTTCTACTGTGACATTGGGACTCATTCCCAATTCACAGATGAGAAAACGGGGGCTCAGAGACCTTGCCTAGGGCTCTCCAAGTTATAAGTGGTGCAGCCAAGGTTCAAATCCAAAGTATTGGATTTGGGGTGTGGGGCTCTTTCCTCTGCTACCTTCACGCTCATTATTCGTCGGTGGAGTCATGTCCCTCTCAAAATGGTAATAGCCCTTTTTCCTGTTCCCTATTTCATTTAATCCTCTCAACTTTTTTTTTTTTGGTAGGGGGGGGCATACCCAGTGATGGTCAGGGCTTACTCCTGGCTCTGCGCTCAGGGATCACTCATAAGGGTGCTCAGAGGACCACACGTGCTTCTAGGGGTCAGTCACATGTAAGGCAAGTGCTTTACCTGTTTGTTGTACTATCTCTTTCAACTTGCTTTGAAAGGTGTTACTGACTCCCCCATATATAGAGACAAGAAAACTGATGCAAAGCCACAGAACGTATAAGGAGCAGAACTGGGGCTTATGTCTCTGTCTTCTGAACCCCTAAAAACAGTGTTTTTTGGTTTCATTCTCAAAGGAGTCCTCCCCAGGGCCTGGCTTGGCTCTCCCCAGTGCCCCCTGTCTGCTCCCATACTCACGGTAGGACGAACTCCTCCATGTTGCTGACCAGCTGTTTGCCCACCATGATGATGAAAAGCTGCTGAGCGAGCTCGAGAAGGCAGCCTCCAGGGCCGCACTGTGGTCGGGAGACACAGGGCACCTCACTCAGGGCTGAGGGGTCATGCAGGAGGGCCCCTACCCCCATCAGATGGAACAAAGCCCCTGCTCTTTAGAGGCCAGAGGGAGACCCAGCCCCTGCCAGACCTAAGGGTCTGACACCACCACCCCACCACCCCCCAGTGCCAGTGGAGGGTTACTCACATCCTCATTTCGCAGGCCGAGCAGCGTGCCGTATTGACCAGGGTATCCCACAAACCTGTAGGCCCACGAAACCTGTTGGCAATGCACCCTCTTTTCTGAGTGAGTTGGTTTGTTTTGTGGTGTTGGGAGCTATCCCTGGCTCTGTGCTTAGGAGTGAGCCCTGGCAGTGCTCGGGCTACCATATGTACAGCCAGGGATTTAAACTGGGGTTATCTGGGCAAGGTAAACACCTTAATGCCTGGACTATCTCTCCAAACCCAACACCCTCCTTTCTGGAGCCAGGCCATGACTACATCCACACTGAGACTACCCTCCAGCACCCCCACAACGCTCCTGACCATTCTCCCTCACACTGACTTCACACTCGGGTGACAGGGCTGCAAGATGGCCTTGATCACCCTCTTACCCCCCAGAACCCCAGCAGAATACCCACACATTTCTTAGAACCGTGGCCTGCACCAGCTGCTCAGTCCATGAAAAACCAAGGGTTGATTACCTTGGGGTGTATCTGGACTAGGAAGAGTGTCACATTGCTAAAGATCAGCTTCCTTCGGTGATTCTCTCTCCTGTTCTCACCAAATGACCAGGGTATTTACCCAGTAATACAATCTCTGGGATTCGAGCCCTCTTGGACTTTTTTTTTCTCTTTTTGGGTCACACCCGGCAATGCACAGGGGTTACTCCTGGCTCTGCATTCAGGAATCACTCCTGGAGGTGCTCAAAGGACCATATGGGATGCTGGGAATCGAACCTGGGTCAGCCACGTGCAAGGCAAACACCCTACCCGCTGTGCTATGGCTCCATCCCCCGGCCGACCCCAGTTCAATTCCTCTGCCCCGCTGGAGAGCCTGGCAAGCTACCAAGAGTATTGCGCCCGCACAGCAAAGCTGGCAAACTACCCATGACATATTAGATATGCTAAAAACAGTAACAAGTCTCACAATAGAGATGTTACTGGTGCCCACTCGAGCAAATCGATGAACAATGGGAGGACAGTGCTACAATGCTACAGTACTTGGACTCCTAAACCTCAATGAAAATTAGCAGCTCCATGATGTAGCAGATAGTACAGTGTAGGACATCTGTCTTGCACGCGGCTGACCTGGGTTCACTCCCTGGCATCCAATATGGTCCCTCAAGCCCCACCAGGAGTAATTCCTCTTTGCAGAGCCAGGAGTAACCCCTGAGCACTGCCTGGTGTGGTCAACAAGCAACAACAACAAAAATTAGCAATTCCTGGGGCTGGATATTACAGCAGGCAGAACACTTGTCCTGTATGTCAGCAGCCTTGGTCTGATCCCCGGCACTCCATATGGTCCCGTAAGTGATTGCCAGGAGTGATTCTGAACACAGAGCCAGAGCCAGGAGTAAATCCTGAGCACTGCCAGATGTCCCCCTATTACTCATCCTCAAAAAAAAAAAAAATGGAAAAAAAAATTAGCAGCTCCTGAGGTTGGAGATGTAGCTTAGGCTGTCTGCCTTGCATGTGTGAGGCCCTAGGTTTGACACCTGGCACCACACACACACACACACACACACACACACACACACACACACACACACGGTATCTTGAAGGAAAAACCCTGGCCTGGTTCATCTGTGCTCCCAGTCCAGGGTGCTCAGTGAAAAGTCCTCCACAAAGAGGGCAATGAACCCATACTGCAGCACTGGGAGATGAGTGCCTTAGGCCTGGGTCACCCAGGGCAGCTTGAATGGCAAATGAATTTGGGTATTAAAGTTTCACATCTCCCCAGTAAAGGGCCGAGGAGCTACAGCTGAGAACACTGAAGGCCAAGGCCAGCAGGAGCCATTTCCAGGTCAACGGCAAGACCATGGTGGAGAAAAATCTGGAGGCTCAAAGATGCTGCCCTGTGCTGGGCCACTTCCCTGAGAGGCAATCACTTTGGGGGGTAGGGCAGGAGGGGTCCTCACCTGCCTTTGAAGAAGGCCACATAGAAGGGCGAGGAGTAGAAATTGACAAACTGAAAGATGAAGACTTTGAGAGTGAAGGCATCTTCATGGAGGGTCTGAGTTCTGTGCATCTCTGGGCAGAGGGAAGAGTAGGTCAGAGGTCTACTGAGTACAAGGCGCCCACTGGGCAAACCTTGTTGCTTTTGCCTGTAGCCTGCCTTTCCTCTAATGCCAGTCATGCATCCCTGGCTATCCTCACTGGAAGATGACAAAGGAGGCTGGGGATACCAAGTGGGAGTTGCAGATTTTGAGGTACAGTGAGTCCTACTGCAGGGCTCCCAGTTCCCAATGGATTCCAAGACACTCATGCGTCCCCTTTCCTTCACTCACCCCATCTGGTGAGCTGTTCAGCCAGCGAGGTATAGACCTGGCCCAGGAGCAGGATCAATACCAAGTTGAGCACGGTGCTGCTGATGTTGGCAATGTTGCCAGCCTAGATAGGGCAATTGGTACCACTTGGGCCTGGCCCTGCAGAGGGCTGAAAGATATGCTGAGAATTCCACCGTGGGCCTGGAGCCTACAGCTGTGTTTCCACCCTCCACTGACCTCAAGGGGCACTCACCTGGGTCATGAGGACAGGGTTGCCTGTGTGGAACATGGCAATGCTGATGATGCCACGGTAAATGATGACAGACACCAGGAAGATCATCACCACGCAGAGCTGGGGGCCAGCAAGGGAAGACATCAGAGCTGGAGGGCAGGCATCAGATCCCAGGCCAGCCTGCAGGGGACAGTACCGGACAGAGCAAGAGCCGAAAGCCACCTCACCATGATGAGGATGGCAGCAGAACCAGTGAGCAGGCGGGGAAGGCGGGAGAGGGGTGGGAAGTAGGGCTCCCTCAGGCCTGTCACTGGGTTCCGGGCCATCTGTGGGGCCAGCGCAGCAAATTCTGGGCGAGGGCACTCCTGTCAGAGGGGCGACAGAAATGTACATCATAAAATTGAAGATTGGGTGTCAGGCCAGAAGAATGAGGATACTTCCTGCCATTTTTACCTGCATAAAGAGTTCTGCAAGTACAGAAATGAGGGCAGATTTCCTGCCCCTCCTCCCCCATGACACATACACACACAACCATGGTGCCAGGGATTAAACCCAGGGCCCCACACGTGTGAGGCATGTCCTCTACCACTCGCTTATTCTTAGCTCCTGATTCTTTTTTTTTTTTATTCCATAGGACCTTTATCCCCCAAGGCCTTGCAAAGACCCTCGGTGGATGGATGGGTAGTTGGATGAGTGGATGGAGGAGTGAATGGATTGGTGGATGAATGGGTAGATGGAAGGATAATGAATAAACAACAAGTTGGTATACATGTGGGAGAGGATTGGATCAAGCAATGGATGCATGGACAGGGGGTGGACAGATGAGTAGGTAAGATGGACAATGAACAAGCCTCTGTAACTGGGCAAATAACGGGTAGCTGGAGAGTTGGGTGGTGGCTCACTGGGTGGTGAGGGGAATGTGGCCCCCCTTCCTCCCTTTTCCAAGCAGCTTTTCTTTTTGAGACCTTGCTGAACCTCATCAAATCTTCTATCAGCTTGAAGCCAGAGCATGGTGGCAAAGGCACGTGAGGAGAGGTCAGATTTGAATCCTAAGACGTTGGCCTCCAAATTCTGCACTCTGGGTGCAGAATTTGTGCCCCCACTGCCCATGCATGTGGTGCCTACACACATGTCACCTGCATCTCTCTCCCCTCTTGAGATGTGGATTTTCATACTTGAATGTTGGGATGTGTATTGGCTCTCTCTTCTCTGGAGAAGCCCTGTTCTCCCTCAAGCACTTATCAACTTACCTCTTCTGTCTCTTTACTTCCCCTACAAACTTACTATACCTCACAGGCACACACACACAAACACACACACACACACACACAAAAAAAAAAAAACACCACCAAGGTCTTTGCTTTTCCCAGCCTGCCTTATGGCCTCTGTGAAGCCCAGGGAGCAGAGTATGGCTCTGGAGGAGGGCTGAGCCTAACCCCACCTCCTCTTCCTGGAAGTCACTGCAGTCCCAGTGGTGGGCCAGGGTGGTGCTTTTCCGCTTCCAGTGCTCCAGGAAGGCCATGGCCCAGAAGGACATGAAGATGCTGAAGAACACGGTCCCTGGATGATCAAACAGGTAGCCCATCTATGGAAGCGTAGAGGGCACATGGCAGGGCTTGGAATTGCCTTCCCAGCCGCCATGCCCAGGGCCTGGGTCCCAAATGCCTCCTCTGTCCCTTGCTCTCCACTCTGGCTTACCCTAGCCATGGGGCAGATCTCAGAAATGTTCCATGTGGCACAGGTATCACAGAGTGGGCACATGAGGTAGGTACCCCCACTGGCACAGATCTCTTCCCTATGAACAAAAAGTGTCATCCTGAGAAGGTTTAGCCCCAACCAGTCAGCGAACCCAACCCATCACCCAGCCTTCCCACACACAGCCACTCACGCTGGTGTGTTGGTGTCCATGGTCATAAGGCCAGAGAGGAAGACCAAAGTGCCCACAAGGGCAGCAGGCAGCAGCCAGGCTGTGTAGAAGCCTATGAGGGTGACAGAGAGCTCAGGAACCCCCATCTCTGTCCTTGACCGAGCTTCCCATCCCAGAGACAGACTCACCTAGCCAGGCAAAATAGATGGCCACCTTCTCCCCAAAGTACTCTCGTACATGGTCCAGGGGCTGGTATTTGTACCAGCATCCCCAGCGGGCCCAGTACGAGTAGAGCAATTGGCGAGGGTTCAGGTCTGCACCAGGCACCTGGTACCCCGGCAGTTCAAAGGGGCCCTAAGGAAGCAAAGAGGAAGGGCTAAGGGAAGACCTCCCCCACCCTTGTCTCAGCTGAGCTTGGGCTGTCTCTACCTCGTGCAGTGGGAAAGCTGCCGTGTAGACTCCTTCCACCAGAAGCCGGGCAATGCCCATCTCTGCCCATTTCTGCTTCCCATACAGTGTGCGGGCCAAGATCTCTGCCACCTGCCGGAAAGAATTCTGGAGTGACTTGCACCCTTTACCGTCCCACGTGGACCCTCCAGGGACAGTGTCTTACCACTCGGTGCCTCTGTGTGTTGGAGAAGTAAGAGTCGTGGCAATCGCTGCCCAGGAATCTGTGGCCAGAGCAGGGGTTAGAAACAGAGTCTTCTGACCAACCCGAGAACTAACACAAAGGGAGTTTAGTCTCTCGGCTGAGTGACCTCTGAGAGCCCATGGACTCTCTACAGAGCTCAGCCTGGCTGGGTGTGTCTAGGGAGGTGTGAAACCTAAAGGGAATCCTAAAGGGAGTCAATCAGAAATTGCCTTGGAGATAGCGCGGAGGAGACCGAGCCTAGTGGGTGCTAAGCGGGTTGCAGACTCCCACCCCACTCTAAGGCCCCTCTCGGAGGCCCCCAGCCCCGCCCCTCCATAACCACGCCCCTTTAGAGGCCCCGCCCACTCGGGCCCCGCCTCCTCGAGACCACTCCCCCTCACTTGTCTAGCTTGGAGCGCCGGAAGGTGCAGGTGTAGAAGTCCAGGGGCTTGTTGGGCACGTGCTGCTGGAGGGGGTTGCGCAAGCGCAGGCGCAGCAGCAACTCGGCCGAGCCGTCCGAATCCGGGTTGGGTCGAGCCTGAGGAAGCAGCACAGGGTCACGGGCCTCCGGGAGGACTCGGCCCCGGGGGCTTGGTTCCGCCCAGGCCCGCGGCGCCCACCTGCAGCGGTGCACGCAGGCTCAGTTCTTCGGCGTAGAACACGAGCAGCTCCCAGGGCGCGCTCAGCTTGGCGAAGTGCAGGGCGCGGGCGCCGCGCTCTACGGAACTGCGCTCCTGAGGGATGGGGAAGGGGGGTCCAGGTGGGCCAGAACTCCGAGGCCCTCCCCTCGCGACGCTAAAGGGACCAAACACTGGCCGGGAAGCGCCCGGCTGGCGATGCCGATCAGTAACGCGCGCGCTTGGAGTGGCCGGAGGGATAGCGCCGTGGGAAGGGCGCTGGCCTCGCATGAGGTTCGACCCCCAGCATCTCCAGGAGTGAACTCTGACTGCAAAGCCAAGCATCACCGGGTGTGACAACAAAACAAACAAAAAGGGCTTTGAGGAGCCAGAGAACTCAAAAATAGGCTGGAGTGCAGGCTTTGCATCCCGGACTTGATCCCCGCATCACATGGCTCACTGAGCAACACCGGGTGTGCCCCCTTCCCCAAAAATAATAAAAAGAGAAAAGGCTTCTTTGTTTGAAATTCAACCGAGGCGAGAACTGCACCCTCATTTTAAAAAACGTGGAGATAAACACTGAGTAAGCAGCCTTTAATTAGTGGCTGATATGTCCAGTTATTGGGCATCTCCGCGCGTTGTGCACTTGACCCATTTAATTATCACGGTATGGGGCCAACACTACGACAAAGCTCACCCGCCTCGCCCCCGCCCTTGCGGTGCTGATGCTCGAGCAGGTCGGGGCTGGCTCACCTCCTCCAGGAGCAGCCCCGCCGCGAGCAGGTTCCGCTGGAATTTATCCCGCCAGCGTCGCTGCAGGAGGCGCTGTCGCTCTGTCCGCCGCGGGGGTCTCAGTTTCTCCTCCCACACGAGCACGAAGTCTGGGCCGGGAGAGGGAGAGAGGGCGGAAGGGCAGTTAGGAAGGGTCCGTCCTGCATGGCTCCACGTTCATCCCAGGTGTGGGGCGGGTGCTGGGTTTACCAATCCCACCAAAACCGAAACGAAAAGAAATCGACTATTGGACCAGAGGGATAGTATAGCGGGCGCAGTGCTTGCTCGCCTGGATTCAATGTCCAGAACCGCATATGGTCGCCAACCAGGCGTGAGCCCTGAGCACAGGCAGATGTCATCCAAACCCCAAACAGCAACAACAATCAAAAGACTGGTGATAGGTGTGGTGTAACAACATTGTATGCCTGAAACATTAGTATTAACGTACTGTAAATCAAGAGAAGGAAGGAAGGAAGGAAGGGAGGGAGGGAGGGAGGAAGAAAGGAAGGAAGGAAGGAAAGAAGGAAGGAAGGTAGCAATTCCAGTTCTGGGTTTTTGAAATCATTAACTCAAAAATTTATCTACCCCCAATGTTTATTTTATTTATTTTATTATATATATATTTTTTGCTTTTTGGATCACACCTGGGGATGCTCAGGTGTTACTCCTGGCTCTACACTCAGGAATTACTCTTGGTGGTGCTCCGGGGACCATATGGGATGCTGGGAATGGAACCTGGGTCGGCCACGTGCAAGGCAACCGCTCTACCCGCTGTGCTATCACTCTAGCTCCCCAATGTTTATTTTTTTTAAAGGGGATCACCTCCCCGTAATTCCAGGAAGCCTTGGCAGTTATGCCACTTCCAGCCCCATGTAAGCTCATCTACTGACCATGCTCCAGAGATCATAAATAAATCTCAAAAGAAACCAACAAGTGCTAAAAATCCCTAGGACACCTGAGACATCTGGGGCACCTGAGGGGAGTGGGCCCTGGGCTGGTCCCCCCAAATAGAGCCTTGGAAGCCATTGGCTCCCACACTGCAAAATCGCCATGCTTCTGGCCGGACTCCATCTCAGGACCAAGCTTCACCCAGAAATTAATTTGCTGAAAATTCGGTTATGCAAGTCTTTCTGAGTAAAATCTCCAGGGTTTCTAGGAGTTCGGATGGGCTACCTCTGCCCACTTCCCTGTATTTCTGGAAGCTCTGGCAGTCTTGTCTACAACCTAAAGCCTCTGCCCAGTTAAAATTTTAACTTCAACTCTGTCACCCACTTAAAAAAGTTCTAGACTTGGGGCTGGAGTGATAGCACAGCGGGTAGGGCATTTGCCTTATACCCGACCGACCCAGGTTCGATTCCCAGCATCCCATATGGTCCCCGAACATCGCCTGGAGTAATTCCTGAGTGCAGAGTCAGGAGTAATCCATGGGCATCGCTGGGTGTGACTTAAAAAGAAAAAAAAAGTTCTGGACTTCCTGAAGCGTGTAGCTCTGGACATCTCCAAGCTCTACACCACTGATAACCGTGTAGTAGCACTCCAGATTGGACGGATGATGGAAGTAACATAGAAAGCAATGAATCTCAACTAATCAAACAGTAACATAGAAGGCTTAACCTGTAACAACATCTTTGTAATCCCTCATACTAGGACTAAACACGTCTGTGGTGAGATACAATTTACACTAATTTTCCTCTAAGAATATATTTTTAATCATTCCATTAGCAATTTATTGATGACAAGCAATAGAAAATAAATTATTGTGGACCTTCTATGGGGTAGGCTTAAGGCTTGGAGACAATGATGGAGGGAAGGTGATAATGGTGTTAGAATAATGAATGTCTATAACAAATCATGAACAACTTTGCAAATCACATTGCTTATGTAAAGTGTAGAAGAAAAAATTTACATAAGTAGACCTTACCTATTTCATGTAAACTTTAAAATGTATTAGCACAGAATTTCTTTCAAAGTTTTATTAAAGACAGGTAAGGCATAATCATTATGACAATAAGATCCAAATAAAAAATAAAATTTAATGCAACACATTTTAGATTGGTGTGGAGCAATAGCACAGCAGGTAGGGTGTTTACCTTGCACGCGGCCGACCCAGGTTCGATTTCTCTGACCCTCTTGGAAAGCCCAGCAAGCTACCAAGAGTATCTCGCCGAACAGCAAAGTCTGGCAAGCTACCCGTGATGTATTCGATAAGCCAAAAACAGTAACAAGTCTCACAATTTGTTGTGAGACTTTACTGGTGCCCACTCAAGCAAATCGATGAACAACGGGAGGACAGTGCTACATTTTAGATTCTAGAGTTGAGAACTTTTCTTATGGAAATGAAAACAAGCTTTTAAAAAAATAGGTGGGGGAAATCATTGCAGCAAGAGGTACTGGGACTAGTTGGAAGGAGAAACTGTCCCTTGCAAGCAACATACAGTGGCCTATGGGTTTTTTCGGAAAGAAAGGAGGATTTAATTAGCAACATGTTTTTGGCTACTGTGGTCACTCTAATGAGGCAAGAGTGAGAGCCCTGTCTAGCCCAAGTCTCACCGATTTTGGTTTTCCCATCACGGAAAAAGTTGCCCCTGGAGTCTGGGGCATAAATGTTGTGTGGAGCTTGGAGACAGTGGGGGTCCGGGTCCCTGTCCTCTGCACCATCGTTATCCTAGGAGCAGCGGGACAGAGGGAGGGAGGCAGGACTTAGTGCAGGTGCCAGGAGCTGCTCCACCAGCCCAGCTGGGCCTCGCCTCCCTCCGCCCACCAGCCCACCCACCTCCGGCTAAATATAAAGTGCAACAAGGCAGGCACTTCGCTGGACCCTTCTCCCGCCTCTGCACCATTCGCAGCCCAAGAACCATCATAGCAACTCCACCTCGGAGAGAGCAGTTAGAGGATCCTTAACCTGGTGCCTGTGCTAGACGTTTCCCACACCCTTGCTGCTTTACAACTCCAAGACGGAAGCTACTGTTAGATAACAGATGAACAAGCAGCAAATACAGCCAACAGTTTATAAAGACCACAGCTAACCTCCCCATTTGCTCCCAGGATCCACCCTATTTTAGAATACAGTGGGACACCTACTGTGCCCCAGGTCACTGTCCCAGTCTCTGGGGGCTGAGGTTACAGGGAGGGGTGCTCCTCCCAGCCTGGCCCTCTTGAGACTCTTCATGGCTCCAACTTGTCCTGGGCTCTGAACCTCTGTCTCTATCTGGGTACCGCTGCCCTACACACACACACACACACACACACACACACACACACACACACACACACACTGGTCTGTGTCTGGCACCAAGCTGCCCAGGAAGTTAGGAGATCCAGGGCTCCCATCCCCACCTTGGACTCACCCAAGGCCCTGAAGGTCCACCCAACAGCCTTTGCAGGTCCAGCTCCTGTGTCCCCTTCCTCATCACGAGTCACACTTACCTGGGGTGTTCCCTGTTGCCCACCAAGGATCCTTGGGCAGGCAGCAGGCAGCAGCTTCACTTACCAGCTCATCCTGGGCTGGAAAGGGTGGGGGAGGAGGAAAGGGGGGAGATAGGGAGGGGGGGAGGGCATCAGTATGATTTCCCCTCCTACAGGCAGCCCCAGGCTTCTGGTTGGAAAAGCTGGGAGGACAGGTGGGCACTGGGGAGTTGAACCCAAATGACAACACGGTGGCGGGGGTGGGTGGGGGAGGATGCAGAGCTTAGGGGCTTAGGGCTGCTTCAGGGTCTGCCATCTTGGGCAAACTTGACCCTCTCTCCTCTCTGGGACCCTGATTCCAAGCCCATTGGCAGCAATAATACTTTTTAAAAATCACTCCCATAGGGATGCAGTGAGGTGATGGTGGGACATTCCAAATGAGATTTCTTTCCCACAGTTCTGGAGATTGGAAGGTCAAGACCAAGGTGTGGCATGGCCAGACCTAGGGAGCTCTGTGGTGCTCTGTCTTTGTCTCTGTCTCTGTCTCTGTGTCTCTCTGTCTCTCTGTCTCTGTCTCTCTCTCTCTCTGTCTCACTTTCTTTTTCTCTCTCTCTATTCTCCCCGTGGCTTGGGGATCACACCCAGTGGTGCCTAGGGGACCATTTGATGATGCTGAGAATGGAACCAGAGGCTTCCCCTAGAAACATGCACCCCACCCCTGTGAACCATCTCTGGGGGCTCTCAGTCATGGTAGCTCTGCCCCCATTACCTGTTCGCCTCCCAAAGACCCAATTACCTCACTCTGGGATTAGGAAGTTTACATAGACATTGGGGGAGGGGAATATATTTGGTCTAAGTATTCTGTGTCTGTAGGGAAGGGGCTGAGGCTCCTGAGAGTTTAGGCTCCCAAGGGGGCATGGAAACAAGCCCCTGGGCAGCAGCACATTACCCAGACCCCCACCCCATGCCCCAGAAGGTGAGTCCCTCTTCCCAGAGCCCAGCCATCCAAATGAAAAGGCAACTTCCAGGTGTTCTGCCCCACCCAGGAATGGCCTCTGTCTCCAAGGCCCTAGCCAAGTTTTACCTGGAGCCCAGACTCTCCTTCACTGAGGGTGCTGCACTCAAATTGGTGGCATCCAGTGCAAAATGACTGAACATCTTTTGAGCACTTCAAGATGGCAACCGAAGAGCCTTAGATCCAGCGTGGGGCACCTACAAGTATGGGGTCCTGGGGACTGCTCAGGTGGGAGCCAGGAAGCTGAGTATGGGCACACTCAGTGTTCTCTCCAGTTTGTCCCCTGCTCACCACATGCAAGCCCTGTTAGTAGAAGAAATATGACTCTAGTTCATCTTCTAGGGGGGCTCCTACACAGTATCTCTGGGGCTGGACTGCAGGAGCTAGGGAAGAAAACCTGGGGTGTAGGGCACTGGGTCCTAGCCCTAACATCTGCCCTACATGTTCTTGTTACCCAGGGAGGTGGCAGCAGGACCTGCTCACATCTGACTGGGTACAGGGGGAAGCCAGCCAGCTGGCCCTGGGGAAGGGCAAGAGCAACCAGAAATTGTGGCTCCAGAAGTTTCCTTTTTTTTAATTATTTTTTTGGGGGGTCACACCTGGGGGCGATGCACAGGGGTTACTCCTGGCTCTGCATTCAGGAATTACTACTGGCGGTGCTCAAGGGACCATATGGGATGCTGGGAATCGAACCCGGGTCAGCCGTATGCAAGGCAAATGCCCTACCCGCTGTGCTATTGCTCCAGCCCCACAGAAGTTTCCTTTTGAGGAGAGGCTCACGCCCAGAGACAACTGACTGGGACATGGGTAGCTGGTGGTTCCCCATCAGGCTCAGGGTCACCCCCACTAGATCCCCCTATTTTTTTCTCTGCCTTGGTGGGACAAGATCTATTGGGCCTAATAACCAAGGGGCTCAGTGGATGCCAGCTGTCTGAACACAGAGCTAGATCCAGAGAGAGTACAGGACATAAGGCACTCGCCTTGCTTGTAGCTGTGTGGCTGCAAGTCCTGTCTGAATCCCTGGCACCATGTAGAGTCCCCTAAGCACTGACAGGGGGCACTCCTGAGATCAGAGACAGGAACAGTTCTAGATAGATAAAAACATGAAAGCTGTGGGCCCCATGGGCTGGGGCTGGGGGTCCTGCCCCGGGACATTCTTTCTCTGGGGTATAGAATCTCAGTTCTCAGATAGGAACCTCAGTTGAGGTATGAAGAATCTGAATCAGCTCTTTGTTGTTGGTTTTTTGTTTGTTTGTTTGTTTTGCTTTTTGGGTCACACCCAGCGATGCACAAGGGTCACTCTTGGCTCATGCACCAGGAATTACTCCTGGTGGTGCTCGGGAGACCATATGGGATGCTGAGACTCGAACCTGGGTTTGTCGCGTGCAAGGCAAACGCCCTACCCGCTGTGCTATCGCTCCAGCCCCTAAATCAGCTCTTTGAACCTTTGGAGGTTTGAAGTAGACACAGGTTAAACCCAAGAGTCAGGATGGAAGGGTGTTTGCTGAGCCGGGATCATGTGCAAGGGCTCCAGCGAGTGCCACGAGGGAGGGGTGCAATAATTGGGGGGCACATGCTGGTGTGTGGGAATCCAGGGCTATGCCTAGGAGGGTGGGGGTAAGGGCTGCTAGTGCTGGCGCCAGAGCCATAGTACAGCAGGTAAGGTGTTTGCCTTGCACATGCCAACCCAGGTTTGACCCCCAGCATCCCGAGCCTCTCCAGGAGTGATTCCTGAGTGCAGAGACAGAAGAAACCAGGTGTGGCCCCAAAACAAAAAACAAAAAGAGCTGTAGGTACAACTTCTGAAGAGGAGTCTCAGAATGGCTGGCTTCGGGGGGCGGGGGGGGTTACTGGACTTGGGCTTTCAGAGTCCTTCCACCTGGGTCAGACTCAGACTCAGACGCAGCCTCAGCCTACGCCTCCTCTTCTGGGGCCAGGAGGGCACTGTTACTGTCACTGTCCTCTCGTTGTTCATCGATTTGCTCAAGCGGGCCCAGTTACGTCTCCATAGTGACACTTGTTACTGTGTTTGGCATATCGAATACGTCACAGGTAGCTTGCCAGGCTTTGATGTGCGGGCGAGATACTCTCGGTAGCTTGCTGGGCTCTCCAAGAGGGGCGGGAGGAATCGAACTCAGGTCGGCCATGTTGGCCGCTTGCAAGGCAAACGCCCTACCCGCTGTGCTATCGCTCCAGCCTTCAGGAAGGCAGAGGAAGTAAAATAAAGTAAAATAGAGGCCATGCTGTCAGCACCCAACTCTTGCTGCTGCAGCTGAACTCACTCACTAGTGTCTCTCACGATGGGACAGGGATGAGACCCAAGAAGCAGCTTCACTCCCAGCTCTGAGCCCCACACCCTGGCCTGCTCAAGTGCTGCTGTCCAACTCCCTAAGGTGATAGGGCCCCTGTCCTGAGCTTGGCCTGACAGCTCCAAGCAAGACACTAGAGAACGAGGGGCTCCCTCCTACAGAATACGTAGGTGGACTCCATTTCCCAGCCTCACCCACAGCACCCTGTGACCACGTAACTAAGCGCTGGCCAACGCAATGTGGAAAAGTCCCTGGTGATGGTCTCCACGTTTCTGAATGAGTTCTTGGAGCAATCGTAGTGTCTCCACCCACTTTCTCTTCACCTAGCTGTTTCAGAAAACACACACAGGGGCTGGAGCAATAGTACAGCAGGAAGGGCATTTGCCTTGCACGCGGCCGACCCAGGTTCAATCCCTGGCATCTCATATGGTCCCCTAAGCACTAAGCACTGCCAGGAGTAATTTCTGAGCACAGAACCAGGAGTAACCCCTTAGCATCACTAGATGTGACCCAAAAAGCAAAAGTAAATGGATAAATAAATAGAAAACACACACAACAAAACCCTTGGAGGTTAGCCATGGAGAATTCAGGATTTATTTGGAACAGCAGATGGTGTGATCTTAAACAATACACAGGCTCCTAGAGAACATCACATGAGACTAAAGGTCCAGAAGAGGTGTCCCCTTCTCCCTGAGTTGTTCCATGGAGTTGGAGAAGGGAGCTGGGGACACATTTGAGCCCTGGGGCCCTGCCCACAGAGATTTTCAAGTTCTAGAAACCTGGCTGATGCAGGACAAAGGGAAAAGTCCAGAGGACACTTAGATGCTCTCGGTTCTCTGCTGCAGAACCAGAGTCCCTACCTCACACCCATGACTCCTGTCAGGAGTGTGCCTCGGGGGTGGGGCCTTTCCATTCTGCCACCCTCCTGGGCCAGGCCTCAGGGTGAAGTCACTGCTCCTGCCTCAGCCTTTGGTCCTGCCGCCTGCGCTCTGCGGTGGGTCTCGTTGAGGGGCAGGTGTAGAGATCACAGGTGCCTGTTCATGGGAGCACCACCCCTCAGCCAGGGGTATTCTCCGGGGGACTGGGGAGAAGGCCAGCTGCCACCTGGTCCTGATGCCACAGCTGCTCTGCGAGGCCATTGAGCACATGGGCAGCGTCAGCCAGCCCAGCCCGCCCATCCAGGGTGTGTCCGTCGGCCAGCCGCCGCCCTGGCACGCTCTTCACCCGCAGGAGGGGCAGGTCCCAGGCTTGGCGGAAGGTGGTGAGGTCCCGCTCTGGTACGTCTGTGTGCATGTACTGGTCAAATCTGGGGGAGGGTCAAGGAGCCTGTGGAGCACCGCTGCTCAGCACCCCATCACAGCCAGCCTTCTGGGCCCAAGAGACAGCACAGCTGCGAAGGCGGTTGCCTTGCAGCCTTGCACTTGGCCAACCCAGGTTCCATCCCTAGCACCACATATGGTCCCCAGGGCCCTGCCAGGAGTGATCCCCGAGCACAGAGCCAAGACTAAGTCCAGAATACTCCCCTCAAAAATAGAAAAGAACCGGGGCTGGAGAAATAGCACAGCAGGTAGAGCATTTGCCTTGCACGCAGCCGACCCGGGTTCGATTCCCAACATCCCATATGGTCCCCTGAGCACTGCCAGTAGTAACTCCTGAGTGCAGAGCCAGGAGTAACCCCTGTGCATCGCCGGGTGTGACCCAAAAACCAAAAACCAACAAAAAAATAGAAAAGAACCAGCCTTCTACCTCCCAACAGTGCCTCCCCGCCCCTGGCTCTGGGGTCCCTGCTTGCAGCCTTGGTCATTCCCACAAGACGTCTGGAACCCTTAGTGTGCCAGAGGCAGCGTCTCCGACCTCCCCGCTCAGTGCCTTGCAAGTGGGACCTCTGTGTTTTTGAGATCACCCTAAGGATACTTAGAGCCAATGACCATCCTAACCACAGCAGGGGCCTCGCCCGCCACACGGGCCAGCTGTCCAGGCAGGTCTTCGAAAGAGGCACGGTCGGTGAAGGAAAAGAGGAAGAGGAAGGCGTCGGCGTTCTCCTTGCAAGCCTGGGGATGGAGGGCAGCTGTGAGGCCCTAACCAACAGGGCGAGAACCTGGGTGTCAGCCACAGGGCCTGAGAAGTCTCAGCACCGCCTCCTCCTTCCTGGAAACTGAGGACTAGGGAGGGTGTGGCTAGTCCCAGAGCAGAGCTTGGGCTGGGGTGCAGTCCCCACCGTCAATACAATGGCCACGGTCCCTTGGGGACCCACTCCAGCCCCTGTTGCTCAGACACCAGCCCAGGCCCCGGGCCCACTCACCGGCAGCATGTGATCAAACTTTTTGAGTGCAGACTCTCCACAGTCCCAGAATTCAAAGCGGAACATGAGGACACGGTCGCTGGCCTTCAGCTTGGCTGGCCAGAATACCACAGTGGTCTGGATGCCTGGGGAGGAAGAGGGGGACAGAGGGGGTCAGAGAGGAGAGCAGCATGCTCTGCCGAGTGGCTGGTGTGCTGGGAGAATGCTTCATGGGATGAGTCACTATAACTGACTGGGATGCCCCCAGTCTACAAGGGAAACTCAGCCCAGACCTGGACCTGGCAAAGTAGTTCCACTTGGTGGTACTGAGGGCACTAGAGGTCCAAGACACGATATTCCCTACATCCAGGAAGATTAGGGTCAGGGAGATAGTCAAAGGTCTACACTTTGCATGCTGGTGACCCGAGCTCTATCCCCTGTATCACAGGTTCCTGCACATCATCAGGAGCAAAACCCAAGCCACATGCCCTGTGCCCCGGGCAAAGAACAGAAAATATGGGCTAGAGCGATAGCACAGCGGGTAGGATGTTTGCCTTGCACACGGCCAACCCGGGTTTGAGTCCCAGCATCCCATATGGTCCCCCAGCACCGCCAGGAGTAATTCCTGAGCGCAGAGCCAGGAGTAACCCGTGTATCGTCCGGTGTGACCCAAAAAGCAAAAGAAAAAAAAGAACAGAAGATTCAGTGTTTTCTGAGCATGGACTTTGTCCCATGCTCAGGTACATTACCACCACCGTCCCTAACACCGACCCAACAGCTTGGTACTATTATTCCTGGTGAACAAAGGAGCTAAAGGGGAAACAGAGTGGTGAAGTGACTGTCTAAGGTGCAAAGTTAACAGTGGAGCTGCTTAAAAATGCCCATCTGCAGGGCCAGAATCTTTTTCCCACCCCTGGGAAGACCCACAAAGATGGGGATCCTCTTACCAGTGGTCTCATGATGCACCACGGGCACCTCCAGGCCGGCCAGCTTGGCCACCAGTGCTGTCTTGCCCACGCCACTCTTCCCGGACACAAAGATCTTGTAGCTGGCCATGTCAACAGCCACGGACGGAGGCAGCACTGGCCTCTCGAGCAGCCCTGAGACAAGGAGGTAATCAGGTAGTTTGGCGGATGCCTATACTTGACCCTTAGACCTGAGTGGGCCGCTTCACCGCTAAGGGCTATTCAGAGCTAACTAGCTATGGTGCTTGATACTCAGTACAAAGGCCTGGGACAAGCAGGATCTCCTGATGAAGCACTGCTCTGTGATCTGAAGCAGGCTCGCTCCAATAGTGAATTGGTGTTGTTGTTGTTATTGTTGGGCTGGAGCGATAGCACAGTGGTAGGGTGTTTGCTTTGCATGCGGCCGGCCGGCTAGCTGGCCGGCCGAGCCAGGTTTGATTCCTCCGCCCCCCTCGGAGAGCCTGGCAAGCTAACGCACGGCAAAGCCTGGCAAGCTCCCCGTGACGTATTCGATATGCCAAACACAGTAACAAGTCTCACAATGGAGACGTTACTGAGCCCGCTGGAGCAAAATCGATGAACAACGGGAGGACAGTGCAGTGCAGTGCAGTGCAGTTGTTACTGTTATTGTTATTTTGGTCTTGGGGCCACATGGGCTGTGTGCAGGGACGATTCCTGGCTTTGTGCTCAAGGATCACTCCTGGTAGTTCTCAGGAGTATGCTGGGGATTAACACAGGTCAACTGCATGCAATATAAGCTCCTGCCCAGTGTACTATCTCCCGCATTATTATTTTATTTATTTTTTCTTTTTAGGTCACATCCAGCAATGCTCAGGGGTTACTCAGGGCATCAAACTAGGGTTGGCTGCATGCAAAGAAAGTAACTTACCCCATACTATCTCTCTGGTCTTCATTATTATTATTATTATTATTATTATTATTATTTTGGTTTTGGGACTATACTCAGCAATGCTCAGGGCTTATTCCGGTGTCTCAGACCACACCCTACAGTGCTCAGGGGCTATTTCTGGCTTTGCTCAGGACTGAGGCAAACACTTTAGCTTCTGTACTATCTTTCTGGTCCCTGTGAAGTTTTCTGGCTCTGTGCTCATGAATCACCCTTGGCAGTGCTTGGGGGATGATATGAGGTGCTGGGGATTGAACCCAGGTCAGCTGTGTGCAAGGCAAATGCCATGCCTGCTATACTATCTCTTTGACTTCTTATTATTTATTTCTCTATGTTTTAGTTTTTTGGTCACACCCAGCGAGATTCAGGAGTTACTCCTGGCTCTGTGCGCAGGACTTACTCCTGCTAGTTCTCAGGAGCATGTTGGGGATTAACCCAGGTCAGCTGCATGCAATATAAGCTCCTGCCCAGTGTATTATCTCCCGGCCCCCCCATTATTATTTTATTTATTTTATTTTTTCTTTTTAGGTCACATCCAGCAATGCTCAGGGGTTACTCCTGGCTCTGCACTCAGGAATTACTCGTGGTGGTGCTTGGGAGACCATATAGGATGCCAGGGATCGAACCCGGGTCGGCCGCGTGCAAAGCAAACGCCCTACAGACTATACTATCACTCTGGCCCCTCATTATTATTTTAAATGTGGTGGCAAGACCCAGTATCTCACACATGTGAAGTATGCTTTCTACTGAGTCATTTCTCTGGTTCATTAAATAATTGATTATTATTTACTTGGTTTTTTTTTTTATTTGTTCTTATTTGGTTTTGAGCCTTACCTGGTTGGGTTTGGGGATCACTCCTGGCACTGTTTGTGGGCCCATGAGGTGCTGGGATTGAAGTGGAGTCAGCATAGGCAAGACATACCCCTTAACCGCTGTACTATCACTACAGCCCTTTTTTCTTTTTTGACACGTGAGTTTTGTTTAATTCTTAACTTATTTTTAATTGTTGCTGGGGACACACCCAGTGTTGTCTGATCCTTGGAAACAGAACCCAGGGCTTCCCTAGTCACCTAGTCAATATGAGATTGTGTGTGTGTGAGTGTGTGTGTGTGTGTGTGTGTGTGTGTGTGTGTGGCCACACCCTAGAGTGTTCAGGTGCTATTTCTGGCTCTGCTCAGGACTGAGGCAAGCACTTTAGCTTCTGGACTCTCTTTCTGGTCCCTGTGAGGTTTTTGCTATTTTACACGTTTTAGTTTTCCCACATGTAAAGGCAAGGCTTTTCATAATTCTTTCCTTAATGGCACTATAGAACTGTCCTCCCATCCCGTTGTTCAACGAGTAGCTCAAGCAGGTACCAGTAATGTCTCCATCGTGAGACTTTAGTTACTGTTTTTGGCATATCGAATACGCCACAGGGAGCTTGCCAGGCTCTGCCATGCGGGCAGAATACTCTTGGTAGCTTGTCGGGCTCTCTGAGAGGGACGGAGGAATCAAACCTGGGTTGGCCGCGTGCGAGGCAAACGCACTACCTGCTATGCTAGTGCTCCAGTCCTCTTTCCTTAATAGAAAAAAATATTTACAGAAAAATTCAAAAGGGGCTGAAGAGAATACAAACATTGAAGTCCAGTCTGAGAGATACTACAGAGGGTAGGGCACTTGCCTTGCACATGGCAATCTGGGTTTCATTCCTGGAATCCCATAGGGTCCCCTGAGCCCCACCAGGAGTGACTCCTGAGCAGAGAACCAGAATAACTCCTGAATACTGGCCCAAAAACCATTGAAAAAAAAAAGTAAAAGCAAACATTGAAGCGCTTGCTTAGCATGTGACCGCAGCGATCCTGGCTCAATCCCCAACACCCCATTGTTCCCCGAGCACCACTAGGAGTGATCCTTGAATACAGAGTCAAGAGTAATCCCTGACACTCCTGTGTGCTCCTCGCCACACAAATTATTATTCCCAAGTACTACAAATCAAACCCTAAAGCTCATGTATCAAAATAATTTTTTAGAGGGACCCCTCCTAAGTAGTGCTGGGGCCCATAGGGACCATACTGTGTGGCTCTTGGGGGCCTCCGGGTGTGTACCCAGTGGAGCTTGTTATCAAATTTGGTTCCTATGTCTGCAAGGCAGGCACCCCGACCTCTGAGATAGCTCCCTGGTCCCCAAATCTTTAAGAATATAAATGTATAACACATACAAGAACAGTGTAAATGGTGGTATATCTATATGCTTAGTACCTGAAAGTTTCCCTTTTCTGGCCCTAAACCTGTGCATTTGTTTCTCCTGCCAGAGTTGTACTTTTTCAGTCTGACCAGATCTGTCTGCCCAGGTACCTGCCCAGGCCCCCGCTGACCCTGCTGAGGTGGTTGGTTTTATTGGGAAATACAGAAATGTCTTATCTTGAAGACAGAAGAATATGGAAGAGGCTTGCTTCTCCTTTCCAGAGCTGGGGTAGATGAGTCTGGAAGGTGTGTGTCAGGCTGAAGGTATACATTTAGGTCGGAAGTTTGCAATCAGGGGCCAGAACAATAGTAAATGGGTAAGGCGCTTGCCTTGCACATGGCCGACCTGGTTCAATCACGGGCGTCCCATACAATGCTCGAAGCCCACCAGGAGTGATCCTTGTGTGCAGAGCCAGGATTAACCCCTAAGCACTGCCAGGTGTCGCTTCAAAACAAACCAAAAAGAGTGTGTGATCAGGCTGAAAGTATGGGGTTAGGTCCAAGGTGTGCATTTGGGTTAAAAATGTTAATTGTGCGAAGTACTCAGCAGAGAGCACGTCAAGGACAGAGGCACAGTCAGCGACATCTCAGCTGACAGTGGCTCCTGGCGTGGTTTTGGGTGTTTCCATGTCCCTGGCTCTGATGATGGAATAAGCACTAAGGCCGTTTGGGGGTGGGGGCGTCAAGGATAGAGTTTCCAGAGGACTCCCCAGGCAGAGGAGTGGAGTGAAGTGGACCTTCATTCCTTCCACCCCCTCATCTATTTGGCCCCAGGATGCGTGGGGTGACAGTCCTCCCCTGGGAGTCTCGGGATTCAGGTTTGGGTTTTGGGGGTGGGGGGTCGCTGCACTCACCAAACACCCGCCGCCGGTTCTTTCGCAGGATGCAGGACAAGTATTCCTTGCCTTCGGCGCTCTCGTGCCAGTCTGGGACAATTACGGAGCCTGGAACGGGTGGCCTGGCCATGGCTGGGGACCCTGACGGGCTAAGGGAGAAGACAGAATGAACAGAGGGTGACTGTCCCAAGTTGGACCTGAGATCCCTCTTACCGTCCCTGGAGACTCACCCACGCAGTCCAGCTCCCTCCTGGCGGGAGAGCGGGGGTCAGTCAAAACACCCTATCCTTCTTATAAACCGATGAGCATTATTTGGAGCCCGGTAGGGTTAACACCCCATCTCGTTCTCTCTCTCTCTCTCTCTCCTTATCCGGATGATTCAATTTCGTAGTAGCCCCAACCGCATACTTCTCATTCTACCCGAGCAGTCATTCTACTAATGCCCCGGAAGGCATCGCCACCGCCCTTCCTCCCGGGTCACCCTGTCTGTGTGTCTGGGTAAGAGTAGTAACACAGCCCCGCTTCTCCTCTACCTCTTCGAGCCCGACTGCCGGGTGCTCCCCAGCGCTGAGCCGGGGACCGTCCCTTTAAAAGCCCGCCTTGCCTTCCCGCCGCTCAGCCCGCCCCGCTCGCTTCCGCCCGGCCTGCGTCCGGCTTCCCCGCGCCGGGCGCATGTGCGGACGCTGTTGCCTTGGAGACGCCGGGAGCGGCGCCGGGATGCTGGGTGGGGACCGGGACGGGGTGGGCGTGTCTTCCGGCCTCGGTGCGCCCGGGAGACCGCCTCCGCCTGTGGAGTGCAAAGTGCCCGTGACTCCCCGTTTTTCCCTCAAAACGTGACCAACTTCCCAGCTTTTCAGGAACCTTCCTGGACTCACATATCTCTTTTCTTTTACTTTTTTTTGGGGGCCACACCCGGCGATGCTCAGGGCTTACTCCTGGCTCTGTGCTCAGGGATCACTTCTGGCAGGGTGCAGTGGACCATATGGTGTGCCCGGGATCGAACCCGGGTCGACTGTATGCAAGGCAAGAGCCCTCCCCGCTATACTGTAGCTCCAACGCAATCATCATATTTCTCTTCAATGATGTAGATAAACTACTATGCCCCCCAGGGTCCTTTACACAGTGTCTTGGCCATAACAGTGCCCAGGGCTAACTCCCGGCAGTGCTGGGAATCATGAGGAGATTGGGTTGACTGCGTGCAAGGTCAAATGCTTAACCTCTGTTCTGTCTTTCCGGGCTATAACAAGGAAACCAGCCCTATTGGATTGATTTTTCCCTTCATCTAATCTTAATCACTTTATGGACTCAACAAAAGAAAACTTGAGAGAATGTGACTCAAGCCTTAAATGAGTCCACAGACTCCACTTAGAAAACCACTGCTTGAAGAGAAAAAAAAAAAGGAAAAAAAAAGAAAACCACTGTATGGGCCAGAGCCATAGTACAGCAGAGGGTAAGGTGCTTGCCTTATACACAACCCGACCCAAGTTCAATCCAGATGGTCCCCTGAGCATTCCAGATGGTCCCCTGAGCACTACCAGGAGTGATCCCTGCACACACAGAGCCAGGAGTAAGTGAGCACAACTGGTTGTGCCCCCCGCCCCCCCCAAAAAAAAAGAAAAAGAAAAAGGAAGGAAAGAAGGAAGAAGAAAAAAAAAGACAGATGCTGCTGCGGCGGGGGGCGGGGGGTGCAACAGATTGATTGAGAGGTCTTGAGAGGATTTATCAAGGTGGGACAGTGAGAGGATTTATCGAGGTGGGACAGCCAAGCCTCCAGGAGTAGGTGGACAGCCACACACAGCTGTGTGGGCCGAGGGGAGTGGTAGTCCTTGGAAGGGAGAGCAGAGGCGCACAGAGTCCATCTGTGTTTCCGCCTCTTGCCTGGACTTGGCAGCTGCTTCCTGCTGGGTTTCCCTGCTTGTCCTCTGGGACGCCACCCAGGCACCAGAGTGGGGTTTTCTGCAACGTTAAATCCTGTAATTGCGCACCCATGATTATAGTCTTCCAATTGTGTTCAATGCTCAGGAAAAACCCCAGTGCCATGCCTTCAAGGCCTTCTGTGACTGGCTGGCCCCTGACTGCCTTTTAACAGTCCCCCTCTTCTCCTTGAAGTTCTTCTGCTTCCTGGGACCCTTTCCTGTGCCCCTCTGAGGGCCTGTGCACTGCCGATCACTGGGACCACCCCCAGCATCTCACACAGTGACTACTTCCCTTTACCCGGTCTTGGGATAAATGTCACCTGCAATGAGGCTTTCTGCCTTCTACTAAGCTTGGGGGGTTGGGGGGCTATGTTGGTCTACACCTGGCATTGTGGAGGGCTTACTCCCGGCTCTGTGCTCAGGGATCACCCCTGGTGGGGCTCAGGAGGCCATATGTGATGTCAGAGATCGATCCGGGATTAGCCACTTACCGGAGTTAACCTCTGTTCTGTTTCTCCTGCCCCATCCTGTTTTGATTCTATCATTTTCAGACAGGTTTGTCTGCCTCACCTAGGACATGAGCTCCTTGAGGACAGTGGCCTTGTCTTTTGTTTGGTGGCCACACCCAGCTCGGAGCTTACTCCTGGCTCTGAGATCAGGGATCTTCCTGGGGGTGTTGGGGGACCATATGCAGTGCCGGGAACTGAACCCGGGTCATCAGGTCCATCTGTGTTTCTGCCTCTTGCCTGGACTCGGCAGCTGCTAGGTGCTAGGCAAGTACCTTAGTGACTGTACTATCTCTCTGGCTCCAGGCCTTGTCTTTTTGCTGTCATTTCCCTAGGTCAGTCTCTGTGACTTAAGCTGGTGGCATGGCTTAAACAACAACCATGTTTTTTTTTCAGTTCTGGAGCTCAGGCACCAGAGGTTAGAACAGGTTAGAACAGCAGGCCTGACTGCTGCTTCCTCCTCCTCCTTCTTTCTTTTTGGACCACACCTGGTGGTGCTCAGGGGTTACTCCCAGCTCTGCACTCAGGAATTACTCCTGGTGCTGCTCAGGGGTTATTCCTAGCTCTGCACTCAGGAATTACTGTTGGTGGTGCTCAGGGACCATATGGGATGCCAAGGGATCAAACCTGGGTTGGCAGTGTGCCAAGCAAGCACCCAAACCCCTATACTAGCATTCCAGCCCCATGACTGTTTTCTTTTGATGACCACAAGGGGACACTCTGCTCCAGGTCTCTTTCCTTGGCTCAGAGGAAGCCATCTTCTTCCTCCCTAGCTCCATCTTCTCATAATAATACCATTGTGATTAGCCTGAGCCCACCCTCAAGACCTCATTTCAATGTACTCACCCCCATAAAGACCCTATTTCCAAATATGAGACATTCTGAGGTTCTGGGTTTTAGGCCTTCCTTGCATGAGAATCTGTTTTAGGATGAGGAGAAAGAGAATTCATCCCATCATAATCCCTGCTCCCTAGAATATAGCTAACCTGGGGTCACACACAGTGCAATGTGTGGACTGACCAATTGTGGGCTACAGCTTGATTCGAGGCCTGGAAGAAACAACAAGGATCCAGCAGCCGACGAGGACAGGGACTTCTCAAATATTAATGAGCACTCCCTGAGCCTAGCGACACTTGGGAAGACAGTAGTGAAAGAGATACAGAACTGGTCCATTAAAATCCCATTAATGTGGCACTGATGATCAGGGCAGTAGGCCAGAGGAATGACTTACAGTCCCATTTAAATAGAGAATAGAGACTGGAACTGCCAATTACATCCAGGGGATTCATTTTGGTTTGGGGGCCACACCTGGGGATGCTTAAGGTCTTCTCCCTGCATGCATGTTTCCTAGAAGTGGCCCCCTACGGTGCTGGAGATCAAACCCTGAGCCCCTGTATGTGAAGTCTGTGTACTAGCTACTAGCCCTTTGAGCCTACTCTCTGGTCCCACCAGAAAATTTGTTATTTTATTTTGTCTTTTTTTTTTTATCACACCTGGCAATGTCAGGGGTTACTCCTGGCTCTATACTCAGAAATTACTCCTGATGGTTCTTAGGGACCATATAGGATGCTGGGGATTGAATCCATTATACTAGCACTCCGGACCCTGGGAAATTCAGATTTTTTTTGTTTGTTTGTTTTTTGTTTTGCTTTTTGAGTCACACCCGGTGATGCTCAGGGGTTACTCCTGGATCTGCACTCAGGAATTACTCCTGGCGATGCTCGGGGTGGGGGGGGCATATGGGATGCTGGGTATCGAACCCGGATCGGCTGTGTGCAAGGCAAATGCCCTACCCGCTATGCTATCACTCCAGCCCCGAAATTCAGGTTTTTTGGTGGTGGAGTAGGTGGTGGTGATGGGGAGTTTGGGCCGTACCTGGTGGTTCTGGTGGAGCTTACTCTTGGCTCCGTGCTTAGGGATTACTCCTGGCAATGCTGAGATGCCATATGTGGTGCTAATGTGGTGCTAAAGATTGAACTGTTGTTGGCAGCATGCAAGACAAATGCCACAACCCCTGTACTACATTCCAGCTGCCCATTTCAATTTTCTTCAGGAATTATCTTCATCTAGACTAATCTTTTATTTTTTTCTTTTTGGGTCACACCTGGCTATGCACAGGGGATGCTCATGGTTCTGCAACTCAGAAATTACCTCTGGCAGTGCTCAGGAGACCACTTGGGATGCTGGAAATCGAACCTGGGTTGGCCACGTGCAAGACAAATGCCCTACCCACTGTGCTATCACTCCAGGCCCTAGAATAATCTTAAGGAGTTGTTTATACATCTGTCTGTTCCTTCTCTCCCATCCCACAGTCATATAGGCTGCAAAAGGCAGGGACAGTGTCTGGCACAGAGTAGGATCATTTGTATTGTTTAATCCAGAGTCGGGAATGCAGTTCAGCAATAAAGTACTTGTCTTGCATGTGTAAAGACTTGGGTTTTTATCCCTGGCCAATCCTTCCTCCTCCTTCTCCTCTGCCCTCTCTGCATTGCCCCAGTCTCAGTCCAGCTCCCCTCTGGATCCTGCGTCTAGTCACTTCCCATGCCTTCTCCATCTCTGTTCTGTCCACTCCAGTCACATTGAGCTTCTCGAGGTCCTGTAAGGGCCAGACCTATTCAGATGCCTGGGCCTTTGTAAAGGCATACCGTATTCTGGGGTCACTCCCAGAAGTTCGAGGGGGGTGTGTGGTGTGGTGTGGTGCCTGGTGGTGATCCAATCAGTGGTGCCTGCATGCTTTGAGTTGTAACCCCAGCTCAAAGATCTGAAACATCCCTTTTCCTTTCTTCTTTCGGTTCTTGCCATTTCCCTCTCATCCCCAGCTCCTTGGTTCCCAGCACTTCATTTGAGCTCTTTCCTTCTAATTGAAGCGAGGACAAATTTGCACTTTCACTGACTCAGGTTTGAGAAATAGCGCTTTGTTTCCTCTGACTCAATTTAATCTGTCTCTGCCATGCAGACATTTAATCCAATAATTTCCTGGTAAATTTAAACTCAGCAATTTTGCTTTCTCTTGAGCTTAAACCCTCAAATCTCTTGAAGGCTGGTTCTTTCTACCTCTCTCTCTTCTGGCCCTGGGGCGCCTGTTCAGAAAGTCGGGAGACGACTGGAGAGATGATTCAAAGGGCTGGCGCCCGCCTGCTTTGCATACAGAAGCTCTGAGTTCAATTCCCAGCAGAGCGCAGTCTCTTGAGCATCCCTGAGAGCTGATTCCCAAGCACTGAGCCTGGAGTA